ATTTTAACAACACTTTATTCAACGACAAGGAATGTTTTATTTTCATTTCGTCTCATTGAATCTAAGGCTCAAACATTTATTTCCCTCAAAAAAAATAAGTAGAAACAGTCTGCTTTGATCCGCCACTCTATTCTAAACTCTTGAGTCAACAAAATAATTCCTTGTATGATAAACTGATTATTTATGAAAAATAACTACATTGAATTATTTATAATAATTGTAAAGAAGTCTAAATTAATATCCTACACTTCACCAATTGCATTCTTACAATAAAAAAACCATCTATCAACTAACATTTGCATCCACTTCGTGCTTCTCTTTGTTACAGAATCAGTCGTATCCACACTTGCCTATATCTATGATATAACAGCTTCACCTGATACCTTTGCTTTTGCTCCACCAGATATCTCTTTGATTTCTAGGAATAAGTTTACTCCATGAGCAACATACTAAGACATAATCGAAATTAACTTTATACTTCAAAGTGATTAATTAATTTCTACAAATTAAATAAAACCTAACATCTTCTGCAGCTGAACCTTAATTTCATCACCATTATCAAGACAGACAGATTGTAATTCTAATTACCAATGAAAAAGAAAGAATATCTAATTGTGAATGATTGTTTGGATGCTGTAATCAAAACGAGTGTTTCTCAAGAGAATTTGTAATTTGACTGAATCAATAAAGTATTTACTGAAATTGTTAATAACATCTAGAATATTTTATTTATTTAAGAAGACTTTTTTGTTAGAATTAAGATGAATTGAATGACTAATTGAAGGATATTTGTTTGTTGTTGATCAATAGATTCAACTTGGTAATAGGATTCCTGATGATAATCTCTCATCATAATTATCATTGATGAATTATTCTGAGCATCATATCGGAATGGATACGTTTGTTTTCCAAAGGGTCGAAATGACCAGCTCCTGTAATGATAGTATCCATAATGTCAACAGCTATCTTGTGAAATTCGAGTTAAAGTTGATTGTAAATCCTCATCGGTTGTCATCCTATAATTTCAAATATTTAACGCTGGATCCAAGCCAAAACTGGAACATACTATAAATTGATTTATTTTTCATTCCAAGCACGTGTCTTGCATTTCGTGATAAGCATGAAAGTGTAAAATTTCATTATAGTACATTGCTTCCGGTTACAGACTTTTAAAATTCTTTTTTTTTTTAATATTGTTCGAGATGTTTTTTAAATTTTATTTTACAATGCACGTTTAATTAGTCATCTCATAATAACAGATTATAAGAGTTGGAAAAAGGCTGATAATCTTCTGACAAATGTCAAGAAATATAATTATTCATTTTTCATTCTATTATGCTTTTTACGATCTTCTATTTAAGTTTGCTTGTCAGCAGACACAATAAGAACCATTTCCTCTGATTATGAACCACTAAATGTTGATTCCTTTTTTTTTTATCCAGATATAAATTGAGAAAAAAACTCTAAACTTGAAATAGCATAGAAATATAACGAAAGAAGAAATATATATATATAGATAAACTTGACTACAAATATTTTTATTCTTTTCGTATTCTTAAATATTTTTTTTCTATTGTTATGAGGGTATTCTTTACAATGGTATCAGACTTTCATGCCTTGGGATGAAAAATCTCTCAAGAATAAAATAGCTAACCTCCGTTTCTAGGTAAATTGTATAGCATTACTTATTATTAGAAAAGAAATAATATTTTCTCCAAAGAGAAAACATGTGCCCATTACTTTACATTAATTAAACATAATAATGACATTTTTTCTAGTTTAATTGTATGTTGGAAAAAAAATTCACCATTATTTACCTTGCTATCCTTATTGTTGCATAACAAAGAGTACCATTTAATTGAATAATTAAACAAAGAGTTACGTAATGAGCTTGAGAATTGATCAAAGGATTTTTTGTGGTGTTGCTGTCTTCCATGGTTCGTTGATAACAATTATGACGTGGAATTAAAGTTTTTCTATAGCTGAAAATTTATCATTAACAAGAATGAAACTTGAAACAGTGTTAAAAAACTTTTCATCGTTAAACAATTACCACTAATTTTCACCCAGAATAATAGAATTGCATTATTATGTACAAGTACAAGTTTTTCATTTTAACTTTGAATGCAAATCTACAATAAGGTGGAAAAAAAGCATTGAAAGCAAATTGATTGTGAAGGAAATAAACCTAAAGGTAAATTAATTAGTACACAGTAGGAGAAATTTTTCTCTCAGAACTGAAAGTTTAAAGTTGACTGGTCTTTAGTTTTTAAAGAAGTTATGATGACCTTAGGAATAATGATGAGATGTTGAAGATGCTGAAGGATAATTAATGATAGTAAATTTGAAATTCAGAATTGTGATGGTTTTGAAACAGCTGGAATGAAGCATGTATTCTTTTAACACTTACCCTGCTCTTGACTATCTAACTTCTAGCATCTCCAGTATTGTTACTATAACAATGCTTCACTTGCTCATGTCGTCGAGATAGTTGTGGTAGCTATCCAAATAAGTAGAGAGAGCATAAGGATTGATGTGACAGCAATCTATTTCAGCTAAAATTTGGATTGCTCCTTTCTTAGCTGTCGCAATTTTATGGCATAATTTCGAAGCTAATAGTGGTATGGGGTTGATTGAGGACTCATTTGGAAGATCTCGACGAGAGGAAAAGAGTTGATATAGTGCAAATCATAATTGTCGCGAAATTCATGCAAAAATTGAAGCAAGTTCCCGTTTTACCCCATTTTAGGAGTGAAAAAATGGATTTTTCATAAGTTTGACCCAATTCCGCATTTCTACGCATCAAGACGAAGAGAATGAGTGGTCGATCATCAAAATCGGACAACTTTGATTTTTCGACCCCAAAAAATGGCAAGTGGTACCCCTTTCCATTTTTTTTGGCCAAAAAATAAAAGTACTCCGATTTTCAAGTTCGACCACTCATTCTCTTCGTCTTGAAGCGTAGAAATGCGGAATCCGGGCACCACCCGAAAAAATTTACTTTAACACACTCATACAGGGGTAAAACTGGATACTAATTACCAACAATCATCTCCTGACTTTAAACCCTTATAACTCGTGAACGGATGGTCCAATGACCGTTTTGAGGGACATTTTGAAAGCATTGAAATATGAGCTATCTAACAATATCCATAGATTTTTGAGAAAAAATTTCTTTCACCCTTAAAATTGCTAAAATATAAAAAAAAATCACATTTTTTTGGGAGTTTGCCAACTATTTTGGCCATTTTGAGGGTGAAAGAAATTTTTTAGACAATTTTTATGGATATGTATCTTTAGCTAAGATTCTGAAGTTTCTAAATACATCCTTGAAATCATCATTCGATGACATGTATAAGAGTTAGAGAGGTACTAAATCGAAGTAAGGGTAAAAAAATCATCTACTTTTGACTTTGAACCTCTATAACTCGTGATGAAATTATCAAATGATAATTTTTGAAGAGTATTTGGGAACTTCAGAATCTTAGCTAAAGATACATATCCATAAAAATTGTCTAAAAAATTTCTTTCACCCTCAAAATGGCCAAAATAGTTGGCAAACTCCCAAAAAAATGTGATTTTTTTTTATATTTTAGCAATTTTAAGGGTGAAAGAAATTTTTTCTCAAAAATCTATGGATATTGTTAGATAGCTCATATTTCAATGCTTTCAAAATGTCCCTCAAAACGGTCATTGGACCATCCGTTCACGAGTTATAAGGGTTTAAAGTCAGGGAGATGATTGTTGGTAATTAGTATCCAGTTTTACCCCTGTATGAGTGTGTTAAAGTAAATTTTTTCGGGTGGTGCCCGGATTCCGCATTTCTACGCTTCAAGACGAAGAGAATGAGTGGTCGAACTTGAAAATCGGAGTACTTTTATTTTTTGGCCAAAAAAAATGGAAAGGGGTACCACTTGCCATTTTTTGGGGTCGAAAAATCAAAGTTGTCCGATTTTGATGATCGACCACTCATTCTCTTCGTCTTGATGCGTAGAAATGCGGAATTGGGTCAAACTTATGAAAAATCCATTTTTTCACTCCTAAAATGGGGTAAAACGGGAACTTGCTTCAATTTTTGCATGAATTTCGCGACAATTATGATTTGCACTATATCAACTCTTTTCCTCTCGTCGAGATCTTCCAAATGAGTCCTCAATCAACCCCATACCACTATTAGCATAAAAGTTATGCACATTTCCAGGTCTTACAGTTTCTCACTAATATATCATTATTTCATTAATTTTATTATGCATATTGTTTTGTATTTAATTGTTAAATTAAAAAAAAAAAAATATCGACATAGATTATAATTAGAAAATCCTTTTTTTTAATAATTCTATTAACTCAAAACTGCATCGAAATCCTTCGAAAAATAAGCCAACGTTCATATCTCATTGAGTATACCAGTTCTCGTCCGATCACTGAAGTCAAGCAATGATGAGCGCGGTCAGTACTTGGATGGGTGACCGCTTGGGAACACCGCGTAGCGTTGGCTCCTTTTTTTTGTCTTTCTTCATTAATTCAACATTCAATTTTAATTTTTATCATTATTTTATTAATTTCACTATATAAAAATTTTCCGTGTCATTCTTTCGAAAAAAAATTCTAGAGCATCTTGATAAAAAATAAATACTCCAAAAATGAACTCACCGAAAATATGTGAGAATAACTAAAGATACAATCAGAGCTATCAACGATATCGTGTATCCAGTCTCATAGATGGTAGTATAATCACAAACTTCCTTAATTCAAAGAAATAAATTATCTACTCATTATCAAATCAATTAGAAATTCGTTTAAATTAAAATGGCATAAATAATTGGAAAGAAAATTCTACAAAAAAAACTTTGGAGATAATTGAAAGATAAATAGATGAATATTGATTGTGTTCAGCTTTCGGCTGGACTGTTCAACTTGTGGTCTGTAAATAGACCCTTAAATATTGTTACTAAAAGCTTATTGGTTAAATTGATATCATTTATATATTAATTTTGTTACAGTAAAGGCGCATAAAGTTTGCGAACCAAATGGCACTTGGCTTCGGCATCCAGAAACTAATGTAATATGGAGCAATTATACTACATGTGTGAACGTTGTTGACCTAGAGGTAAGAATAAATTACACTATTTAATTTATTTGAGAACTCCATAATAGTTGAGATGATAAACATTCTTCTAATGGAAAAGTGTTAAAGTAAGAAGATTAAGAAAGTAGTGAAATAAATTTCCTCTGATACTTTTCATCACTATCCTGGATGAGTCCAGGTTTTTTTTTTATTACATGGGCATATTATTTGTTCATGTCACACCTTTACATAAAAGAAAAATCCTTTTCAACAAAATTGAAAATCTAATTGATTATTTTCTTAATCATCTTTAATATTTTATTTTAAAAAAATGTCATTAAATGAAAAGAAAGTAGGTATATACTTTGATTTAGTGTTAAATATTGAATAATGAAAAGCGAATTAAAAGCTATCGAACTTCACATGTTTTTTAAACACTCTGTACTCTTCCTATCTGCTTGTATTTCAAATTTAATTCATGCATGACAGAAACTAAACATGTAAACTACTGTCGAAAAGTTTGGAAGCACTTTTTTAAATTACACAAAAAATTTGTTAGTAAAAATTACTTTTATATCTAAGCCAAACTAAAAGTGAATGAAAATAAAGGAAAAAAATACCCAATTTGTAGTCATAATTATTTTATTTAAAACAGGTATTACTTTTAAAAAGAATAAAGATTATATTAATTAAATTAAATATTGTCTTTCTTTAAAAGTGGTATTTATTTTATGATTAGTAATTAAGATTAATAAAAAAGATTTATAAATGAATATATCGTTTAATAAATAATGTTTTATTGTCATTTTGTTGTTTAGATATTGTTTTATCACAAACCATAAATTATTTCTATGAGTAATCAATCTGCTATGAAATATTTGCAGAATGAATTGAGAATTCTTGATGCTTTCAAATTGTTGGATGGTAACATATATTTATATCTGTATAAGCTTTGTAGAGAAATTTTGATAGATTTAAAATTAAAAGAGAAATGGTAATTAATGCAATTACTGCAGATTTATTTTATCATTAACACATTAATATAAATCGGCCAATTTATTTATCGTATTTAAAATGATATTTTCCCAAGCAAAGATTTTAAAAATTGATGACTATGATATCATGCACTATTTCTCGTGTCAAAATTTAGTTTATTCGTAATTGGATTCGCTGAAGCTTTTATTGAAAACAGAACGATTCATTGGAAATTTTTTTCAGTTTGAAGTTTTGAGAATTCACTTGAAACGATTTTTATATTTTTATTTTTCACTATCATTTAATACGATTAATTCCATTGATCACTAAAATGTAACAAATATTTAAATACTCAAATCTTTTTTTTTTCTTTTCCCAAAAATGAACTGTAGTTTGTTTGGTACAAAAATCAAATAAAAGTTAGTTTTATTTTCAGTACATTTCACAAAGTTTTATTAAAAAAAAATCAATTATTCTCGACACATTTTTTTAAATTTCAAATATTACATTGTTTTTATCTAAACTTATTCCACAGCATCTTTTTCATCTAACTTTCACAGATTAAATTCAAAACTTATATTTCTCCATGCGTAAAAATCTTTTATTATTTCCCATAAAATAAAAACGAAAAGATATTATTTATTTATGAAATTCTACAGAGGTAAACATCCATTTTTTTTTAGTAAGAAAAAGCAAAAAAAAAAAACAAAATGTTCTCTTATTCTAAACGCATGATTTACATGTGGTATGATAAAATGATGCTCTGTGAGGCGCAAAATGTATTACTTATATGTTCGTCGCGTTTGGAAGGCTAATAGAAAGGCTGACAGGTATACAGATGTGTTCCCACGCACGCGAATTGTTTCACAAACGATAACATTTTGTCGTATGTCGATCCGCAAGGTAAATTGCGGTGCAATTTCGAAAATGGAACGAACGTTCAGTGGTGCATGTTTCCGATATTCTCACTGCGAACCGAATATTTCGTTAAATGTCATAGATTGAGTACTTGTCTTTAATCTTTTTCTTCAAAACAGATAAAAAAACTCCTAAATGATTTTATTTAACACTGAGTATATTTTTTTTTTGGTGATTTATTTGATGTCTTCTAGAATTATTACTCTTGTTTATTATTTTCGACACTATATGGATAAATCTTCCTTCATACTCCCACAATCAAAATTCACCACAATCCGACCTATAAATTGATATCATCCACACCAGATCATCATTAAAAACGATTTTCGCAACAGAAATTTCTGTCTGCTGAACATGGATGCAAATGAATCGGAAATAAAGTCATAATCCTCAAGAGATACAAGTAATAAAATCCCTTTTTCTGATGTAACTATTTTAATATACGTTTTACTGATAAATGTCAACATCTAGAGGAACATATATCTTTTGATAATACTTTTTATGTTAACAATAATATTGTATTTATGTAAAAAGTTCAAAGCAAAATACTACTACGAAAAAGTATCGTGTATACATCTATAAATTTATTTTTTATCTCAGTAGATATTTTTTTTTTATTCTGATAAATACCATAGATTTGTTAGGATTTCATTTGATAAGCAGTGTTTATTTTGCATAAAACAGTTCACTAAATAGCCGGATTCTATCGAGTAAAATTATGTAAAATTACTTAAGAACGACAAAAAATAGATCGATTTTCCAATGTACTGTGTTTGTTGGACAAAATAACAAAACATTGTATGGTAAGTTGGCTTATTTTAAATTCAGACAAAAAGAAGAGTCATGAGAAATAGTGGAATATTATTAAAATACTTTAATGATTTTTTATTTAATTTTTAATTCAAAATGAATACTGTCATAGTTAATCAAAAATTTGAAACTATAATATAATCATTTATTTTACAATATTAATTAATAAAAAATAAATATCTTATTTTTAAATTCCATTATAAATCTTCATTAATTTTTTTTAATGTTAAAAATTACTACTTTATCTAATTGCTTATATCCAAGTATTCCTTTCTACTGATCATTTTTAATTATTTATTTTTTACTACAAAATTGATGTCATTTTCAATTCAAAATAAAATATTGTTAATCACTTAATAAAATTGTCTATTATTTAATTACACTAATATGTTTCTTGTAATAGTTTATCACTTAAGCGAATTGTATATTTGTAATCAACTTCATTGTTGTTCTCCAATTTTACAATAAATAAAATAATATAATTAATTTAGTTAAGCAGTTTTTTTAATTATACAGCATAAATTATTTTTAATAAAATTATTTCCATTTCCTACACGCAGAGAAATGTATACTAAAAATTACCCTAAATTTTATGGTAATTTGGTGACAGCGCAGGGTGTAGGTAAAAATTACTATGCAGCTTAGTAATTTTAACCATGTGCACAGTAATTTTTACAATGTGTATAGTAATTTTTATCGTCACCCTGCGCTGTCACCAAATTACCATAAAATTTAGGGTAATTTTTACTATACATTTCTCTGCGTGTAGATAGCACAATAATAAGCAGATTTTTAATGACCAATTAATTATGGCTAACAAACTAAATCAATACTGAATTCTATCAATAATAATCAAGATAAAGTTTTATATTAAAAGTGTTAAAATAATATCTATTGATAACCAATTTATTACTATCAATAATTATCCCACCTATCAAGCAATGTGATCTGCTAGAGATCTGCTAGAGAGAAGATTAAATTCTATTAAGTCTCATAAAGCGTACGTGTTATTTGCAATAGTTAATAATTGTTAGTGTGTCAATAGAATTAAAATAGTTTATGATATCAATTCATTCAATAAAATAAAAAACGTATGAAATGAAGAGAAGAGGAACGAAAGAAATGAACTTTATAAAAGGAAACCAAGTGTAGTCCAAGTAAATGAGAACAGGAAATTTACTTTTCAACTCTAAGATTCATCAAGCCTGTTTCCTTGTTCATCTAACTCTTGTTATTACAAGAACTCATGTATTTAAGTTTCAGAAAGAATCGATTAATTTTATGCCCGATTGTAATTAGAAAAAACCAAATATTTGTTCATGTAAAAAATAAGATAGATAGAAGTATAACTCTTTTTGTAATGGAAGAAATATATTTCTGAATCCATTATAGAAGAACAACTCAGTAATCAACTGAAACATTAAATTGGATAAAAGTTTTTAATCTTTTACTGAATTACTGCAGTAAACCATCATTGACTTTCAAACTTTAATATTTTATTTCTACCTTACGTTTATATACAATTCATAATATTAATTTATATAGTATTTGTTACTTGTAGTAATTAATTTTTAAGTAACTAATTAAATTTTATCTACTTTTAATCATTTGTTCTTTACTAAATACAATTATTCCTTTTTTGTTCTGTATTTTTAGATTCATAAAAATAAAACACACTGAGCACCAAGCAATTTTGGTCTCTTTATTAATAATTCAAGCAGAAGAGGGTTAAACGATAGGTATTGAACTGAAGTTCATTTATAAAAAGTTAATTGAATCTATAGATAGATCAATAAGTGAAAATTTGAAATAAAAAATAAATCAAATATAAAAAAGGATTAAATATTGATGATGAATCTCAATGTTTGCTATTTTTCTAACTAGAAATCAATAAGTCTTTTTATTTAAAAGCTATTTTGTCAGAAATTGAAATGGCTAGATTCATTATCATATTTCAATTTATTCTACTCAACATTCCAATCAGATATTTGCTTAATATTTAAATCTCTAATGATCACCACATTCATATCAATTCATCTAACTCTGCTATTGTGCTCTTTATTTCATTATCCAATATTTCATATATTCGGTGATCACTTACTAATGTTTCTCATTAATTACCACTAATACTTATGTGTTAGTCTGTGCTATTTTCAACATTTTTAACCCAGTAGATCAGATCTCTACAACTATTTAAACTAAATGGAACAAAATAATTTGTTTTAATATTTATTATTACAACTGTGGTCAACACCAACATTTTATTATATTTTTAACTTACTAAAAGATCATATTTAATAATTAAATTAAATAGTTTATCTTTATAAAAAATGAGATATTAGTTAATTCATAGCTATAAATATCTACATACCTTGGAACCAACAAACTTGAATTTTATAATAACCACTCATCAGTCAGTGTCACTGAATAAAAGTGTTTCCAAAGTATTAATGTAATTATTCATACTCCAATTTAAATATCACTAAATATACATTTTGTTGACATTTATTCAGCAAAAAAGTATTTATTATCTTGACATTATTCATACAACTCTCAAGAATAACTAATTAATAGACGATACTTTTGGAGATAGGTGATGATTTCCAACCTATGCACGTGTAATGAATAAATATATTACATTTATTAACAATATTGTTTTTTATCTGGTATAATAGTAACATACATTAAAGGATATTGGTAGATTAGATTATGTATCAGGTTTCCTGCATGATCTTCGTCTCTTAGGGATTACATTGGTGCATGCTTTATCTCTTTTGCTTTCACGCGTTATGAATGATTTACCACCGACACCCTTGTTGTTTTCAATACGCATGAGATGAGCATAAGAGGGTGGGTTTTACCTTTATCAATGATACATACAAATGATGTTGATATTGATATTAACAACGAATTGGATAGATTATTATTGTTTTAGCTGATAAAATTTAACTGCAGTATTGAAAGTTTATCTTTGATTTGTTTCAGTGGCAACAGCGGTTGAATACCATCTATGAGACTGGATACACAATATCGTTGATAGCTCTGATTGTATCTTTAGTTATTCTCACATATTTTCGGTGAGTTCATTTTTGGAGTATTTATTTTTTTATCAAGATGCTCTAGAATTTTTTTTCGAAAGAATGACACGGAAACTTTTTACATAGTGAAATTAATAAAATAATTATAAAGATTAAAATTGAATGTTGAATTAATGAAGAAAGACAAAAAAAGGAGCCAACGCTACGCGGTGTTCCCAAGCGGTCACCCATCCAAGTACTGACCGCGCTCATCATTGCTTGACTTCAGTGATCGGACGAGAACTGGTATACTCAATGAGATATGAACGTTGGCTTATTTTTCGAAGGATTTCGATGCAGTTTTGAGTTAATAGAATTATTAAAAAAAAGGATTTTCTAATTATAATCTATGTCGATATTTTTTTTTAAATTTAACAATTAAATACAAAACAATATGCATAATAAAATTAATGAAATAATGATATATTAGTGAGAAACTGTAAGACCTGGAAATGTGCATAACTTTTATGCTAATAGTGGTATGGGGTTGATTGAGGACTCATTTGGAAGATCTCGACGAGAGGAAAAGAGTTGATATAGTGCAAATCATAATTGTCGCGAAATTCATGCAAAAATTGAAGCAAGTTCCGGTTTTACCCCATTTTAGGAGTGAAAAAATGGATTTTTCATAAGTTTGACCCAATTCCGCATTTCTACGCATCAAGACGAAGAGAATGAGTGGTCGATCATCAAAATCGGACAACTTTGATTTTTCGACCCCAAAAAATGGCAAGTGGTACCCCTTTCCATTTTTTTTGGCCAAAAAATAAAAGTACTCCGATTTTCAAGTTCGACCACTCATTCTCTTCGTCTTGAAGCGTAGAAATGCGGAATCCGGGCACCGCCCGGGAAAACTCACTTTAACACACTCAAACAGGGGTAGAACTGGATACAAATTCCAATAACCCAATAATCATTTTTAGGGACGTTTTGGAAACCTAAAAGTCTAATCTAAACGTGCATATCCCTGAGAATTGTTTAAAAAATTTCCTTCACCCTTAAAATCGCTAAAATATAAAAAAAAATCACATTTTTTGGGGAGTTTGCCAACTATTTTGGCAATTTTGCGGGTGAAAGAAATTTTTTAGACAACTTTCGTGGATATATACCTTTAGCTTAGATTCTGAAGTTTCTAAATACATCCTTAAAATCATTATTTGATAATTTCTTTACGAGTTATGAAGATCCAAAGTCGAGAGTAGATGATTTTTTAACCCCGACTTTGGGTCTCTATATCTCTTATACACGTTATCGAATGATGATTCTTAGGATATATTTGGAAACTTTAGAATCTAAGCTAAAGATAGATATCCATAAAACACGTTAAAAAAATTTATTTCATCCTCAAAATCGCCAAAATAGTTGGTAAACTTCCAAAAAAATGTGATTTTTTTCAATATTTTAGGTATAATGGAATGGTAAAATTAAAAAAAAAAAATATCGACATAGATTATAATTAGAAAATCCTTTTTTTTAATAATTCTATTAACTCAAAACTGCATCGAAATCCTTCGAAAAATAAGCCAACGTTCATATCTCATTGAGTATACCAGTTCTCGTCCGATCACTGAAGTCAAGCAATGATGAGCGCGGTCAGTACTTGGATGGGTGACCGCTTGGGAACACCGCGTAGCGTTGGCTCCTTTTTTTGTCTTTCTTCATTAATTCAACATTCAATTTTAATCTTTATAATTATAAATAATAAGTAATATCAAAGTATTATTATCAGAATCATTTCGTTAATTTTCAGTACCCGAAAGTTATAAATAAAAATAAAATTCATTGATAAAAATAAAACAAATGCTCATAATTCATCAAACTTTAAAGCCTTTTTTAAATAAAATATAAGTTTAAATCAATATTACGTTAAATGTTATTTCTAGATCATTAAGATGTGCAAGAACCACACTTCATATGAATCTCTTTGCATCATTTGCTGTGAATAATCTACTATGGTTAATTTGGTATGGAGCGGTAGTAGCAAATACTGAACTTCTTGTTGAAAATGGAGTAAGTATGTGATTACCTGATACTACGGATTTATAGTGTATATAATATATCTTAAAAACAGTTCATTTTGTCGAAGAAATAACGAACAGAACACTTGATTAATCTTCGTTCTAGATACCCTGTCGTTTATTGCACGTGATACTACATTATTTTCTGCTCACCAACTATGCGTGGATGTTGTGCGAAGGCTTCTATCTTCATACTCTTCTTGTCAGTGCATTCACCAGTGAACACAATTTAGTCAAATGGTTAATGGCAATTGGATGGCCAGCACCTGCAGTCATTGTCTCGATTTACGTTATTCTCAGGGTGACAAGTGATGATCCTCAAGATAATTCAGAGTAAGATTACTACTTATTATTTATTTACTATCATCGATTATTCACCTTTTTTTAATGTAGAAAGTATCCAGAGAATTGCAGAGCTTATGCATAATAACAGACAAAATTATGTTTTAATTACGATTTTATGCTACGCTGATGACCAGAATAATCCCAATACGAATTTAGTCTATTCATCTGGAAGAGGAGGAGTGGAATATTTATCAGTGCTACGATAATTTAAACAATTTTATATTAATTAAATTAAAAATAAACACATTCAATTGAATTTAATCTTTAAAATGAGAATCATTATGAAGAGATATTGAAACAAAAGAGAAATTTATAGCTTATCAATTGACCAGATGAGTTTATACAGCACGAGCCAAATAAAATATTATTACCAGAGTTGAGATTTAATTGAACTCAATTTCTTCCGAGTATACACTTGTTCCGGAAATCAGGAGAAAAAATAATTTTATCGTACAAGTTTCATTACGAAAATTGGAGATGGGAGAAAAAAAAGCTCGAACAAGGTAATAATAAGAGATAGGAGGGTCGAATATCTGTTTTATCTTTCTAAGAGATAATTGACCTTTTCTGGAAAGAAATTTACGTTGTTCTGAGAAAGACATCAAGAATAACTATTGAAACATTATTATTACAAATTACAGACCAGGAAGATTTATTCATCTAGAACAAAAATACTTATTTTCTATCTTTAAATAAGTTTGATAGAACAAATATTCAACATGTATTTACTTAATAATTATAATTACGTGGCTACGTGTCATCTTGTGTAGAACTTTCAATAATTAGATTGAATGGTAAAGTAACAAATAATGAAGATTGTCGCTGGAACACCACAATAAAGCCGTGTTTCCCAATATTCAATCGATGCATTGTGTAGAAAGGAGGTGATGGTGAAATACAAACATAAGGAAGGTCGTACTGTGCCAGGAAATGTTGTTGGCCGATAGTAAAAGCTTGCAAATAGGGCGATCCCTCTGAACTTCCGCTATATTTATGTAAAACGCTGGTCTGGTGAAGAATTAATTTTTTCTTTCGGTTCAACCTTTATTACAATCACGCAAAATCAACATAACAACGTTAGCATATTGATTCAATAATTTTTGTTTTTCTTTCTCTTTTTTAATTAATAAGTCACGTCAAGCTTATTTCATATTGATGTATCCAATTGTTGACATAAATAATTATATTTTATAAATGAATATCAAAAAATATTATTCATTTTTTCATTTATATTATTCTACTTCAAGCTCTCAGTAAAATTAAAACCATTACTTACTTTCAATTTGATCAAAATTAGAACTAGCGAACTTGATTTTTATAAAAATTGTTAGTAAAAATAGAAAATGGTTTAGCTGGTTACATTCATGGATAATAAATTGATTTACTATTATTGGTAGACAAGTTAAAGGATCGATAGACGTATACACCAGCAGGACAGAATAGAGAATAGAGTCTAGGGATTTCCTGGTGTTCGATAGCCACTGTGGCTTGTCCATTGGATTAACGTTCTTCCTCTCATATATCGAACAAGCGAAATTCGATCCGCATGTGGTTTAATAAGTAAATTACAAGTAAACTTTATGGAATCTTTGATTATTAATCTAATAAGGAAAAATTTAAAAGAATAAAGAAGAAGAAATAGCTCATGACATAAGTCAAAGTTTTGAAGAGAATAGGCTTGCGAAATGGGATACCAAGTTGGATATTGATAAATATACTTCACACTGATGAAGTAAGATCAACTTTTTTTGTTATTCAGAACCAAGGATTTATTTAATCTCTTTATTATAATAATAAATAAAGGAAAAATATACTAGAAAATTGATTGGATGCCAAGATTAAAATATAATTGTCAGAGAATATTTTAACTCCTGACAGACAAATATCTAAACAGCATTCTTCTCCAGGGTAAAAAGTACCTAGTGCTATATAATTTCAAATATCTCAACTTCTAATAAAGTTAGAAAGATTTTTTTTATTTCAAATTAAAGTTTAAACAATTCTACATAAGATAGATATATTATTAAAGTAATTAATTTAAATTAAAATGGATAAAAATAACATTGTAGTTGAACAAAGTTTGGGGTAGGTACTTTTTACCTAGTGTGTCAGTCAGGGATTAATAATATTTTTTAAATAATTAATCGAATTTTTTATATGTTGAAAGGGGTTGATAGTTTGGCAATTAAATTATTACAAATATTTATTAAAATTTATTTATGTGAATAAAACAAATTTTATTCAGTAGGGAATCCAAGCTTTCATCAAGAATATACTTTTTCTGTTTGAAAGTTGATACTTTTTGAATATTAAAAAACTGTATCACAGCTATCAATCCACCTAAAATATGAAAAATGAGTTAAAAGTAATTTCAAAACCAATTGAATTTCAAACACGTTTTATGCAGTTGTTGGATTGATGAATGCAACTATACCAACGTCTTGGTTTATCCTGTATGCGTGTCAACACTACTCAATCTCCTGTTTCTTTGCAACATTGTTCGTGTACTACTTACTAAGTTACGAGCTGGTCCAGCAATTGGAACGAGACCGTCTCGTTCGATGCTTCAAGCTTTCAGGTATAAGACTTTTATAAAACTTCCTAGTAATAACATCTTTTAAAACTTTATTTCTTTAAGTTGAACTTAAGTTATAACAAAAGATTGTAAAGCACAAATAAATGTTTGTAAAATTTATGACAGTATCCGAAAACACTGTAAATCGTTTACAAATAATAATAGCTATGTAACTTTTCTGAAAGCTCAATGAATAAAATTACTTTTTAGAGCAACTTTACTCTTGGTTCCACTTCTGGGTCTCCACTATTTGCTTATACCTTTTCGACCACCGAAAGGTCACTCTTGGGAGAAGTTTCACGGTATTGTTTCTGCGGTAACAGCATCTTTTCAGGTGAGAAGTTCTTAAAAGTGATCAAGTTAAATTTTTATTTTTAAGATAGACTTAAATGAGTTTGTGATATAAGTTGATTTAAAATAATAAAACAAAGCTTCTTAAGATTATAAGATTAAACGATAAGTAAATGGAATTTGCAAAATTTCAGTTTATGAGGAATTAGAAGGATGTTAACATACGTTTCTATTCACAATAATATTAGTAAACTTAGCATTTAAATTATGTTTGCATATTCTTATTCATGTGAATAGTTTCACTCTGTTGGAAGACGCTGTGATAACATTTCCAAGATCTGTTTGACGGAATGAGCAATGAGAGTTTCAAGCACTTGCTGAGTATTTGAATATATATATATATGTGAAGATGTGATCTTGAAGACAGTCATGAATGTGCTTTACGATTTGTTCAAGCATGGAAAATTAGATGAGAAGGTTGAGAGCCCCATGAGAAAACTTTCAAGATTGCTGTCTTATTTTTCCTAAGTTAATTATTGGTTTAGAATATATAACTCGATATTCAATATAAACATTAGTGGTTAATGTATTAAGAAACATTTCTTTTAATGAATATTGAATGGAAATATTTCTAAAAGTTAAGGCAAAAGAGTAGAGTATGAATTTTGAAAAATGTGTTAAGAGGATTTTGGAAATAAAAGACGTGGTGAAAGGCAATGAGAAGTGGTAGAAGAGTTTGAAGAAGTGATGAAACCATGAAAAAGTCATATCCAAAAGTTCTTTATGATGTCTCTATAATCTCTGTACTACTGGAGTACCAGTATTCAGGTGCTATAAAAGACGTTCTTATGAACTCAAGTTTAAATAATCTTTGAAGTAAATAGATTTAAATTCATCCACAATTCATGAGTTTACTTATAAAAAATTCAAAAATTTAATAATAAAAGTCAATATTTTGACAAGTTTCAGAAAGGCATATAAGATTTGTACAAACTTGAATTTATAATAATTTAAAGAGTCAAGATTAGTCAAATGTTATATACATCTATGTATAGAGTGTAATTAATTCATAAGATTCATACATTATTATACTAAAATAGAATCCTCAATTTACTCTATAAAAGTAAATAATAAATAATAGAGTAATAAAAAAATTGACTACCATAATTGTAATTGATTGCTTGTGATAAATAATCGATAATGAATTACTTATAGGGTCTATGTGTGGCGATACTATTTTGTTTCTGCAATGGTGAGGTAAGGATCTTAATGGGAATATCAATCCATCATAATAGAGGAACTATGTGTACTAATATTTCTCATTTTAGGTCATAGCACAGTTTAAACGGAAATGGGAAGGATCGGCATTTATAAGACAACGTGCCAACTCATGTACTGCAACAACGGTGTCGGTGAGGAACTTTAGCAAAAATGTAACATTCTAAGTCAATTATATAACAATGCTAACAAAAGTGTGCTTGGAACAAATATCTTTAAGAAAAATACAACTTTTTTATTTAAATAATCTTATTACTATTTTAATTAACATTTAGTTCTTTGATATAATAAATCTAACAATAAACTACTTTTATAATTTACTCACTCAATATATTATTTGTCAACTCAATGATACTTTTCATCAACGTTTGGAAAGATTTATGTTTATTAATCCTTCAAAAATATATCGCCAATGGTGCAATATAGACAAAATATTATAATTATTCCTGTGTAATAAATAATCAGTGCATGATTGGTAAATAATTATAAATTACCAGTAGTGCTTTAATTAATGGATAAACATTAATTGTTGAATGTCTGTAAGTAATTAATCCTTCCCTGGTATATAAATTTGATGTCAAAAACCTAAGTAAAGTAGTGCAGTACTCGATAATAATTGACAATTATGATTAATTATAAATGAATGGAAAAACGTCTGTATTGTACCAATGGCAACGCCCGAGTCGAGTCCATTGTGGGGTGTTGACTGTTTCAGTTTGTCCGCTCGACTGCAGGTCCGATGGCGGGAGAGGAAAAGGTGTGACTGTCAAAGAGACCTTCCGATGCAGGAAAAGGTCGGAAAAGTCGCAGAAAGTCAAGCTGCACTCGGGAATGATGCAGCTAATCATACACAACTTCTTATCATGAGCAACGAGTCGACTTACAACTCTAATCAGTATCAATCTCAATGTTGATGGTGTGCTGAATCTAAATTTACCCTTTAAATATACTGGACGACAGAGTCTTCCGCTAATGGTTATTTTATAAAAATCTTCAATTAACGATCTAATTAACGAATATGTAGTAAATTGATATCTTTTATATGTGTTTTGTCGATGAAGTTATTTTCAAAAATTTTTTTTGGGAGATTTAAAGCTTGACGAAATCTCATTTTTTACAAACAAAAATAATAACTAATTACTTTCTTTGTTGTTTTTATTATCATTACAAATGATATTTTTACTTGTTAGCTAGTTGTTTTTTATTAAATGAATATTTAAATAGTACAATAGAATATTTTTCTAAAACTTCAATGTCAGATAATTAAAACATTTACAAACACATCAAAATAATGCTGGTTATTGAAAAATATTTTATAAATGTTAATGATATTTGTTAAATGTTTGGTGTTTAAATTTTTTTTAAAGCTTTAATAACTTGATTGATAGGAACAACTTCGAAGTTTTTTATTCGAACTTATACAAAAAACATGAAATAATCACTTAAAAAAGCTATCATAAGAAATTCTACCTGAACTACAAATAATTATATTTACTCTTACAAAGGTAGCATTTAATTAAGAGCATTTGCAGCAAAAAAAAACAATGGAAAATCAACAAAAAACAACGAGTTTCAATGAATTTTAGTGAATAAAATGCACAAGCATAATTTTTTTCTATAAAATGTATATTTTTTTAATTGCTCAATTGTACAGAATATGTCGATATTAATCTTTCATAATTTGTGGAAAGTAAATATCGTAACATTTATTTCACATGTCTTAATATTATCATTTACATGTTGGAATTATAAGTCAAAAAAATATAATTTACTTTATCTATAAAAGAAAATTTATAAATAGACATAAAATATTTTGATATCTAATAATAATCTACAATGAAATTCATTTAATTGCACCGACATCTTTAAACAACTAACTAAGATTATGAATAATTTAAAGTTATACAAACATTAAATTAACATATATGACAGAATGTTATCATGCGAAAAAATTTTGGTACGCTCTATCAATTATTTAATGAAGTATGAAGAAATGTAGAATCATAAAGAAACAATTTACAAAGAAACTCAAAGAGATAAGATAATAAGTTGAAAAGGTTACGATAATTAAAATATAAAAAAATACAGGTTTATGTACTGTTTAGATTGTCCTTATTCATATTCGAATAACAAAAAAAATATACGGATCTCTAACTGTACTTATTGTAAGAAAACCATATTTTAAATACACTAATAAGAATTCTATGAATGTTGATACAAAAAATAACAGAATAATTATTCTAATAAAGTGTATAATAATAAAAACAGAATCATTGTAAACTAAAAACAAAATTATAATTAATAACTAATAAACTTTCGAGTGAATATAAAATTGATTTATTGATTTTTTGTAGTTCTCTGATGATATCATTAATCAAGTTAATATTAATTCTATTTAATAGTCTTATCATCAATCTGAACATCATTGTTTAGATTTATTTCATGTCTATTGTTTATAAATGACTTTTCGTCATTTAAATTTATATTAAAAATAAAAAAAAACCTTTAAAAAATATTCAACGTGCTCATATATACATATGATACATATATCAATATCAAAATTAAAAACTTTTAATTTTATCAACGACTTATTTCATTTTATGAATTCTACGGCCAAATACAATTGGCTAGTCTTGGAAGTGTTAAAGCAACACCAATACTCGATAGAAGATTGACACTGTGGTTATCGAGGATTTGCCTTCCACAAATATGTTTGACACCTTTGCCTGGATGTTCAACAATTTGCTTTGATTCGTTAATACCTGCAATTAATATTTTTTACGTTTAGTTTGCAAATAATAAAAAAGTGTAAAATAAATTAAATTAAGAAACAACGATCTGTTACCTGAATATTGAAGAGTAGCACCAAGAAGAGAGTCCAAGAGACTTCCAAACAATCCACCAATACCAGCTACAACTATAATTGGCCACTGGGGAGCTGCATTTTCGAGTATTACAGAATCTACTGTATACAGCACAGTTAAGTAATGGAACAGTCCTATGATTAAACCTCCCAACAATGACATGAGTAATCCAATTCCTGACACAGCTCCATTTGTTCCTGGAATTAATTATGTTAACGTTTTTATTAAACTCTCATACATTATTATAAACTAAAGTTAATAATGAGCAAATTTCACATGTACATTATATGATCTCTCTTAAAACTTGACATACAAATTCCTGTATATTTTAATGAATGTTGAAAAGCATAGTTCAGATCAATTTAGTTTAATATCAAGACATAATTAAAATTAGATTGTGTAGTGAGTTTATTATTATTAAATCTGTTATTCAATACCTCTTGGAACTCTTTTTCTTGATGTAATTAAAAACGGATCTGAATTTCCAATGGCAGTGCCAAATTCTGATGCCCATGTGTCACCATTGCAGCAAGCAAATGACCCTAATAACATTATAATTGATAAATTATCTAATCGTTAAGTATAAAACTTAAGCATATAAATTAAATAAAAATAGTTGAAAACATTAATACTATTAGAGTATTATATTTTATGGTTTTAATTAATTCTTCGAAACGATTGATTTATAAACTAAATAATTTTATGATCAATTGTTACATGAATTACCTAAAATACCAATTGATAGCCAAGAGCTACGGTAGTCTTTGTCAAAGTCAATTGGCCTCTCACCACAACCAACATCAAGTAGATAAAGTAATGCTAGCTGAAAAGCCATTCCTCCGTTACACAAAACCTGAATCCAGTTTCTCTGACCTCCTTCTTTAAAATTGATTTCTAGCTTTTTCTTTTTTTCTCCTCTGAACTTGGTAGCCAGTGAAGAAGTAACAAAGAAACACATTAAACAAGCTAGATGAGCATAATTTGTAATTGTTAAAATAAATCCTACGAATAGACCAAGTATTGCTCCACTGAGGTCTAAACTTTTCTTTTTCAACCCCCAAAGGGAAAATAGAATTGGAATGACAATTGCTGAAAGCCATCTCCACGGAGATATTACAGAGTGTTCTAAAAATAAAAAAAAAGAATTTTAGAAATTTTATTTATGCAGTTTAAATAAATAATTCATTTAATTAAATAGATCAGTAACATAATTATAACATCTATTAATATAATAGTTATCAACATGCATGCACATGATTCTTATTGAAAAATAGATTATTGTCATACCTTCGGAATGATATTCAGAATCAGGTGCGATTATGGAGTAAATCACATTAACAATCCAAAAAAGCATCGATAAAGGAATGGCAAAGGCACTAAGTAACACCGGTATCAATACATGAGATGTATTTTCACTGTTTTTGCGAATTGTCATGATGAATAAATATTATTCAATAACGTTTCTATTAAAATTAGTATTAGTAATGTCAATCGTATGAGCTATTATTGTGAGATAACCGCGTGGTTATGGAGTTAGTAAATAATTTATGTGTACATGCTTCTCTAATCTGAACAACACTAAATTGATAAAAAGCAAAATTTTGGAGCTTACACATTACTTCAAAAAATTGTCGCAACGTGGCCGTACACATAATAAAAATGAACATCTGATGATAATAATTTAATTTGGATTGATATTTAACAGATGGTGTTCATGTTTATTTCTCCGCCATTTTGTGAATAGACTACTAGCGCCATTAGGAACATGGAGCTTTCTCTAGCAGTATGACATTTCTGATATACTTGTATTGTATTTAATACGCAAAGGAATATTAAATTTGTAACATTAACCAAAAAATTTAGCAAATATGTTAATCAAAGTGAAAGTAAGTATTTAATAATAGAAAGTTTAAAATCATATGTATTTATTTACTAATGATTTTCATTGTGTTTATTTCAGACGCTTACTGGCAAAGAGGCATGTATTTTTTTAATGAAAAATATTGATTCACATAGTGGTGACGATTATCTCGTTAGAAAAATAATCCTATTTATCATTCTATTCTCTTATTTATAATTCATAAATTTTAGGGTTCATAGAGAGTATTGTTTATTTCAATTACTACTTGACAGTATTATCATCATATTAAAATTAATGTAATTCTCATTTATTTTGTAATTGTTTATAGATTGAAATTGATATAGAACCTACAGACAAAGTCGAAAGAATAAAAGAAAGGGTGGAAGAGAAGGAAGGAATTCCACCACAACAGCAGAGATTGATATTTTCTGGAAAACAAATGTTGGTTTATATTTATTAAATTTTATGTAGGTTATTTCAACTTATTCATTGATATCAAATTTTTCATAAAATCAAATTATTTTTTATAGGAATGATGAAAAAACAGCTCAGGATTACAAAGTACAAGGTGGATCTGTACTTCATTTGGTGTTGGCACTAAGAGGTGGTTTCTAGTATTTTTAAAGACTTTTACACAATTATTAATTAATTTGAATACTTTAAATCATATACAAAATGAAAGGCATTATTCGATCAGTGTCAAACAAAACATTTAAATTACTACACATGGAAGTGAACGCTTAAATTCGGTTGAAATAAAAATTCATAATTTAATTGTTTAAGTAATCCTCAGTGTATTTTTCTCCTCAATCTCTGCGCTTATTTATTATGATTCTACAAACATAAATTAATTAACTATTGTCTTATATAGAGTAAACTTCAGTAAACATTAAAATTATTTTTAACTTACCATAGTTACATTGAAGTAATTGGATTTGAAAAATCTTTACTAATTATGATTAATACTTAATGCACTTTATTGTCCAAAAAACCATTTATATTGACATATTTTAATGAAATCAATAGAGAATAATACTATTTATGGAGTTGATTGATTTATGATGAATTGCAACAAATAAACCAAACTTAGTTAATCCTTGATGACGGTAGAAATTTAATTACTAAACTAATTTCCAACACTATGCTACTCAAACTATTGAAACTAATTTATCATTAAAAAAAACTTATTTACAATGTCATGTTTGATAATATATACCACAAATTGTTCGTAAATAATTAAAAAAAGTTGAAGTTTGTAATACGAATGAATTCAAGGTCTATGATAGCGACTATTGTGGGTAGCTAAACTCCATTTAGTTTTGAAAAATCGTTGACAAATGTTACAAAAAGCGGCAATAACTTCTGAAGACTTGTGTTTAGATGCAGTATGTCGTAATAAAGCATGTTGAGTTGTAAAGTTGATGTTGCAAATACTGCATTTCAAAAGTTGAAAACGATGTTCAATAGGGTGAATAGGTTCCGCTTCAGGACTTTCTATAAATTTATTTTAAATTGCATTTTAGCTTCATTATTATTATTCCATTTTTCGTAAAAATTAGTAACTATTCTATTAAAAAATAGTAGCATAACAAGTACAAAAATGATAAAATTGATTATTAAATCAAGCCAAACCGTAAACCGAATAATAAAAATAGTACTGCTTTTTTTTTCATAGTAACATAAATAATGACGATAAAAATGGAACAATTATAATTCAATTGAATATTTATAACTGTGAAAATTAAACAAACATTATAACAGAAATATCTATTGAAATTCCAGATTTTTATTCGAACTATTAATTGCCGTACATGAATATATGTTCCTTTACATAATTTCATACTCTTCTAGTAAGCAAATGCTAACAATGATTTATCAATATCGTACAAGGCTTCAAAAAAATTACACAAAATATAAAAAGAAAAATTTAATTTAATTGTGCCAAATTCTAATTTATCATTTAACGAAAACACTTCTACTTATTACTTATATATACCTTTAAATATCTATATTCATTTTTTTTTTTTTTTGCACCACTCATCATTTATTTTTGTGCTAAAAATTCAGTATAAAATAATCCAAATTATATTACAAGTGTTTTCATGATAATAGAAATGATATACAATATAGAATAACAGTTTTTCATATTTTTAATTGTTTTAATTTATTATTAATTGTATTTTATCGAAAATTTTTTTCTTAATTTCACATGAATTAGAAGAAATTTATTTTATTCTATTATGTAATTATTCATTTATATTATGAATTGTTTTTGTATATTTTCATATTCTTGGCTATTTAATATTGATAAGAAATAATTAATCACAGTTGACGTATGAGAAAAATAATATTACCATTCGATAAAGTATAACAAGATAAAATTTTTTAAGTTTAACTAAAGTAACGGTTAGTTGTTTTATTTATTTATTATTATTTTCAATATGTAATTGTGAATTTAATCTTCAATTTCGGCTATTATTGAATTCTGTAATTTATGGACGGACTATGAAATTCACTTCTTGTAAAATTTCCGGTATTGACAAGATAATTATATTAATTATATACAGTGTCTGCTGATATTTGTTGAAATGACGTTTTTGAGTGTAGGAATTTTCCTCATATGTTTAAACACAATCAGAAAGTGCTACATTTCTATGATAAATCGATACATTAGAATACTGTGTGAAGACGACTAGACACTCATAGGCAATCGATTAAAGTTCTATTATTCTTTGACATACATCATTTTATGAAATATATTCAAACATTTTTATATTTCAAATAATTTTTTTTTTTGAATCCAAAACAATATTTGAACTTAAAATAAAATGAAGTAGGTTACTTAGATCACATTTTCAACGTAAATCAAATTTTTTTTAATCATTCATCAACAACTTTAGGTAAGATTGTATTTGTCAAAATAAAAATAACATTATCACCTTTAATATACTTCTGAAACATTTAGAAATATATTCATGTTTTTTAAAGTTTACAGAATAAAAATAATTATATTCACCAGTAAAATAAAAAGAAAATATCTTTCAAAAAAAGAACGTAAAAATAAAAAAATTTTTAGTCTAAATAATGAGATTCATTTATATCTTATTAATAGGTTTTCAAATAACCTATTCAGTTTCAATAAACATTCAAAATGATTGATATAATTGCAACTTTAATTGCATGTCATAAATCACAATTTCTGAATAATTTGAATGATAAATACGATACTATTAATGATAAATGTATCGCTAAAAATGCTTCTCTTTGTATTCACGTGTAACAAATATCAAAAATATTGGTATACAAGCACACAAATACTGATGCCACTTAGATGATCAAGTTAAATATCAAATTATGATAAACGCAGCATCTTTTTTATTTATTTATATATTAAAAGTGAATTTTAAATTGTTTGATGAAGTTGTTTATAAGAAGAAATAAGTAGGAAGTAGGCCAAAAGTAGTTGGAGATGGTCCAGTTTGTAATAATTTATGAATTGACGCCTTTTCTAGGATTCCGATGCCTCTGGATGGTTTTTTGCCATTGCATATTATGTTTTAATTTCATATGACGACGCAGGTCGGTTCTACGACTGAGAGTGGTGTGACATAGGATGCAGGTAGTCTGGTTGCGATGCACTTCTAGGTGCTGGGTCAGCGAAGCGAGGTGCTTGTAAACATTTCCACAGAGACTGCACGAAAAACGCCCTGGACCCTGCATCACCACTTGACCAGTTGTATTGCCAACATGCTTCCGTTTTCGTCCCACCCCCCCTGCAACACATTAATATCCTCGTGACCCCCTTATTCCTCATAATATTAATTACATTTTTTAATTAATCATATTCAACATTTTTAATTATATTTTATTTAATCTAATAATGAATAAGGCATCGAAATAACTTTGAATCGAAATACTTAGGGCCTAAAACAAGAAGCCTGTGCGACCTTGTCCTTGTTTTGTTTGTTGTTATTGTTTTCTTGCTTGCTGCACATTAACACGTTGCCATTACTCCAATATTCTTTAAATGGAGTTTTAAAATTACTAGTTAATTAATGTGGAATTCAACTGATTGTCTCGTGCAGAGCTGTACCAATCAACATTGCTGGCGATTTCATGCGATAAGACATGTAATATTACTCAATAACAAAATTTGTTTAACCACTATTTTAAAATTAAGCAAATAATTCACAGGATTTTTTAAAATTAATTATTACCCTGTTTTGAAATATACATAATGATAAAATATTCATACTTTAAATATGAAGATTAATAAAAATAATAATAACAATGAATTCAAAGTAATTTTGTTAACTTGTGAGAAAGGGATGATACATTAAATTGGTTGACATTTTAAACCTTTATTCACACATATGTTCACTTACATTTTTTTGCTATAAGTCAAACATGGGATTATGATATATTAATATACTTGGATTTGTTTATGTATAATAATATATATTTATATAATATTTATATATTTTATATAAATAATGAAAAGAAATATTAACTTTAGTTTTATTGACATTAAATCATTGGCATTCTTGTACTTACTTTTATCAAATTTTATAGTTTTATTTAGTTATTATTCTTGAGGAATGTGCAATATCATTTTGCCTTCTTTTCTTTTTCTTATTTTAAATTTTAAAGTGTTTGGAAATATTTTTTCTAATTTTTTTTTTGTTAATTAGTTATTTAGTTATTATTCTAAAATACAGACTAACATTCAACTACTCACAAAGTACGCAAACGAAACAAAAGAAACACTTTTCTAATCACTAATTGACTTGGTATGATTGCACAATAAAACTCAATTCTTGTGAAGTAAATCATAATTATTGAATATTGCAGTTTTATTGATAATTGATTTAATCAATTTATCAATTGGTAACATAAAATCTAGTTATATTTTGTGATTATTTATTTAGCAATTATGATTTAAATTATTCTAATTATTAATAAAACTGCATTTTTGTAAATTTAATAAACACTAAATACTACTGACTAATTAATATATCAATAGAACTATAAAACTTATTAATTATAAATTTATAGTTGTCAAATTTATATAAGTTTTCAAATAAATGATAAATAACTTAATAATTAAATTTGGCAAGTTGATTAATAATTATATTAAATTGAGTATAGTCTTGATTATATTTTATAGTTTCAATATAGGTGGGCATAATATTTTTATTAGAAATTAACAAAAACAATCATTTAGAATGAAATAAAAAGAAATAACGATGAATAAAATGAAATAATAACTTATTTTTGATGAATTCTTTAGTATTATCTAGTCATATAAAACAAAATCATTTTTTTCTTCACTGAACTAAGGTCTTCTAAAAAATAAAATTACCTAAATTGTAATATTTCAAATGAAATTATTCTGACATATTCATTTAAGAAATATTAACTTAAATTTCTATTAAATTCTTCATTTTCCATTTAAATTTCCAATCAATAAAATAATAAATATTATCATTATTTTGATGATTGAATAAACAAATAATATCAATAAATAAATGAACTTTGGCAGTAGTTCGAGACTAGCAATAATCATTTTTCACGCATATGATGTTAAATGCACATTCCTCTTTATAGTATGGTTATGAATTAAGTACTGAATGAAAAATGACTAGATAAAATAATTCACTCTTACTTATTCCCGTGATCTTTGGTTGTAAAATTGGTTTTAATTAGAGTGTAATTATTAATCGTGTTTAATTCTCTGTGTATCGTATTATACACATATACATACATACATTTATACATACACATCATGATGTATGTGTACGAAATGACTAGTGTGGCAAAACTCAAAAGGTTGATAATGATAACATTTTTTTGGTTGTTTCTTCTTTGGTGGCAATGATTCACACTAAGGAATAGGACTAGAGGTAATTCTCTCAACACTGCTCTCTCTAATGCGTATTGTAGTAAATGTTGGATTTGAATCAGGGTTCGCCGAATGGGTATTCTGCTGAGCAATTGCTGCGGTAGTAACTGGCAATTGGGTTGCATTACGAACGGAATCCACCGTTCCAAACCCCAACCAACCATGGCGATTCTTTAAATGACGTTTCATATGCGTTGTACGGCTCAGCACTTTGTGGCAAACCGGACACTGAGTTGTTCCTTTATGCATGTTCATGTGTTTATACATTGAGTCCCGATTCCAAAATGATTTACCGCAGAGTTTGCAAGAGTGTGACGGTTGTTCGATGACCACTGTACGTGAATCTAAATCAAATAAATATGTCATACTAATCATTTGCCTTTAAATTATCTCAATTTTCGCATTATTTTCTTGCTAATTTTCTTTTTTTTTTTTTATCTTTCATCAATCATACTGCTTTTTATTCTTTACTTTATATACAATTCAAAAAATCGTACTACCTTTCAACACATTCATTCACACTTTTTCAATACTTTAAATTAATTATAATCAAAAAGACAGAACAATTGGATTAAAAAAAAAAAAATAATAAAATTATTGAAAAAATTAACAAAAAAAGAAATCAACAAAAAAATGAATGAAAAGAAAAATGAAAACACTTGCTAGATTCACTCATTTAGCAATCATGCTAAATAAATTGAATGAAAATTCAATTGTTTTATATGATAATGCGCATACGTACCAAATCATTAGTTTCATGCATAACTGCAAACTTGATGTAAAAAATGAATTTTACGTCACTTTATTTCGTTAAATACGATTTAAGCATGTGATAATTATCACGCGGTACCTACCCGCACTTTCGAATAACACTCTTTAATTTTTAATCATTATTATATTAATTTATTCATTGTGAACCGACAATCATAAGTATTCCTTTAAGAAAGATCTTCAGTGATAATATATATTTCAATATGATGATAATTAGATTGTGCAGCTGGATTGTTAACAAATGAATCATTAATCGGTTTAAAAATTTTGAGGAATTTGTATGCAATTAAAATCCGTATAAGTTTCATTTTTTTTTCTTTTTTTGAATATATTCATTAACTACAAAGATATTTTTATGTAATTGTATTAATAAAAATCATCTAATAATTCTAAATAATTTTTTATTCGCAAGTACATGACGCAATACAATTAGTTTGCATCTTTCACGATGAAGAGCAATATTTCATTTTTATAATTATAAAACTTAATAGTTATAAATAATAAGAAAACTGGCACAACGTTAGTGCACCATGCTAATTTTAATGAGCATGATGACTTTAATTATTTATTGGTAATAAAAAAATAATCACATGTCAGAGTATTCTTTGAAACAGTCCGCGTACAAAAATAACGTACAAAAATTTTTATAAATAATTCATTTTATAAATGAGATGATTAAAAAAACTAAATGAATACTGGCAATTTTAATCGGCACACTAAAGACTTTTCATCATTTTTTTTCTCATCTGTATTTCACCATTATTATTAATGGATTTTTATTTTCATGACTTCTCATGATGAAAAGCAATAAAATAAATAAAAAATGGAATGTAAAAATGAATTTACAATTAAATGATATGTTAAACACTTTAGAGATAAACTAAAAAATTTAATATTTTTGATTATTTGGTAAAAATAAATTTCAATTAAAAAAAATTGAATTTCATAATTTTAAACTGCCAAAAAAAGAAAGAATAGTTAAATATTTTTCACAACACCACTGTCATTTAAAATTAATGACAAATATTTTTATATTTACTTCAATATTTATTGACTATAATTTTTTTTATCCCACTAAAACTTTATTTACGAACTTCACTCTAAGTAGAATTATTGATTTTAACGATTTACTTTGATTTATAGGCAATAAAATTGACTCGAACACTTTTCAATATTAACCGGCAAATTATAAACAATTGCATAATTGAGCATATTTTTTTTTTTGTTGAAACTCTTTTATAAACATATTTGTTTACTTTTATAATCTATGAACATATTTCTTCGGTCATTTAACCCCATGAATGTTTACCAAATGACAGCGCATCGTGTATTTCCGCGTGAAGACAGCTCTACAGATCGGACAGACAGTATCTCCTCTGTGAATACTACGATGATGTGCAAGGGAGTCGCTTCTAGAGTAGTGTTTTCCGCAAACATTGCAAACCCATCGACCATCCTTCCGGCGACCTGGTCTCGTTCGTCTTGGGTTATAACCGAAGTTGGAGGGTTGTGGATGATCAGAAGACGTTTCGGAATTGCTTTCTGCGCACACAATCCAAAGTGTTTCCCATACACACAGCCTCTTAATTTGTTAAAGCTCAATTTCTATTTGTTTTAACTGATTTAACAGCTGACAAATAGATACTAATTCAGAATTTTTTTTTTTACTACGTATATTATCAGTATTATTAATATTATTATTACATATTATAAATGTTAGATTGTTGAGCTAATGCTAATTTTCCCACAACCATACCTAATAACCCTTGAACCAGATATTTTGTCCGAAGAGAACAATAAAAAAAAATATATGTATATTGCGGTAGATAAAAGTTTATTTTAACGTGTTGTCATTTACTTGTCGGTTAGACTGTTTAAAATATAAATTCTCACAATCGTATTGAGCTTAAATTAATAATAAAATACAAATGGATTTTCATTTACAGCAAAGTAGCCTTTTGAGTTAAAAAAGGAAAACCATTGCTAATAAGCGTCAGGCAAAAGTTTACTAAGAGCAATTCAAAAAATAAAAAAAAAGTTATGAAATTTATTAAAAGCATTTATATAAAAAATATTTTGCATTAATTTTTTTAATTGCTCCAAGTTTTCTTTTGTTTATTCATATTATTATGTTTTTATACACAGTTGATTTAAAAAGATTATAAATTTAGTTTTGAATTTTGTTTTTGTTTTTACAACTATAAATATTAGCTTTACAGCAATTGAGTATTCTATGTATATTTTTATATATATATAAGTATAAAAAAAAAATAACAAAAATATATATAATTTAGATCTAAACTAAAATTTTTTTCTTAATACGGTTGGATTTTTCTTAATATCAGTATTTAAGTATGACGAATCGTTTTATAAATTTTAACTTATTGTTTTAAAGGGAATTTTGTACATCATAATTTTTCTTTTAATTTAATGATTAACAATTTGAACGAGGTAGTAATGATTTTTTAATTGTCATTATACTTATGAATTTATATCAATTTAAATCAATGAGGTACTAATGAAAGAGTCATCATAATCTGATTATTAATGTATGTTTTAGAATATCAAGTATCAATAAATTAAGTATATTTTATTCATTTCTTCTTATTCATCAAATTTCATGGAAAAGAAAACTAAAAAATAAGTTGAATTTTAATTTAAAAAATAATTAGGATAAAATGCAGTCAGATATAGAATTCATCAAAGCATCTGTATTTTTGTTTTTATGGCACTTATCTAAATAAATAATTTATAATTAATTTTAATAAATGTTTTTCATGATTATTGATATATAATGATTAATAAAATAATATTGATATTGAGTATTGAGTTTATATTGCATTTAAAAATCAATATTATTAACAATCTTTAATTTGATCTTTATCATTTTTAAAAATACATCTTTTATTGTCTATCTAACTCGACAAATAACTACTAATAAATTTTATTGAGCAAATTAAATCGTAAGGCATAGTTATTTGCATTTGAGTGATAGCAAAAGTAAAATATTTATGATTTTATGAATATTCAGCAAAGCACTATTATCTATGTATTTTTTGTTTTCTATGTATGTAAATATATATTTTTAATAAAATAATTATTAACTATGGGAATTTATATAATAATAATCATATTAATCCATGTTTTCAATTTATATTGTAACTTAAAAACTTCTGCAAATACTAATAATATATGAAGTTCAGTCTATTTATGTCACATTAAGAAATGGATTTATTAAATGATGGGTAAATAAAACCTATGGATCAAAACTTGTAGTTATAATTATAATGCAGATAAATAAAATAAAATTCATCTTTAACGGATGTTTTTAAAGAATGTAATTATAAAAAATGTTTGTACTTGAAATTTTCTTCTATGTATGGATAATTATCATGACACTGCCAGTAATGTAATAATAATTGACGTCTGATAATATGGTGAATTAGGAGATAATTGTCATGTTCAATTACGTATCATTTTTATATGTATATGATGTAACTATTTAAAATGATTAAATTTCAATGATGCAAAATAATACCTATGCCTTCCATGTTGCTGTACATATTTGTTAAAAATTTATCTGTACTATATGATGTACATTGATTTTGAATAAATTTTTTACAAATAAGAAGAAACATTAATAGTAACATGAGATTTTTTTCTTCCATTTGATATCAATAATCCAACGTTTTCGTATATTTATAATCATTTCGCGGATTTCAATAATTTTTAACAAATTTAATTACTTTTATTACTATTTTATCAATTAATATATGTTCAGCTATTCAGAAGTACTTCATTGGTTTTAAAATTTATCAATATTGATAATAAATAAATTTAATTATAATTAACAGAAAAGAAAATATTTTTAATAAATTTTATAGTATTATTTAAAAAATATTTTTATAAATAATAGAAACATATAAATCATAACTGTCGTATGAAGGAATAATTTTAGTACAATTTTTTTATTTAAATAAATGAAAAATTAAACAAAAATACTGTTATAATATATATGAAGTAATTGCTGAATATTTCTAGTCAATAATATTTATTAATGATAACGAATAAAAAAGTATGAAAAGACCGAACTGAAACTATTGTTGGTAAAAATAATAAAATGTATTCATAAAGTTTTTCACGGTTTAGAATAATTATCAAATAAATGGATACGTATAAGTCTTAATAATTTGTACAAAGTGACAGAATGGATCTTATAAAAGATTAATCAACGATATATATATTCAAAGAGATGTAGCTCTTCTGCCACTCAACTGGAGTTGGCTGGAGTACTTTAATTCGGTTTGTTTATCTGCACAGCAGATATGATTTGATATCTTGAATAATCCCATGAGCAACGCATGACATTATGATGTCAACTAAGCATTTTGTGGGTATTAGTTATCAATTATTGTTATGAATAATTTATAAATACGGCGTAATAGCAGGTTGGTGCTATGGAGGAGAAATATGAGGAATGGCTCGAAGTTCATGAAATTCCGCGAAACATGGCCAGCGGCACAAACAGGCATTGCAGGCCCAACATTTGAAGCGTGTCTGTCTGAGTTTTCCACGTGACGTGAGTACTCCTCGTCGTTTGCAGTGTACACATACTTTTCCATGACCATTTGCTTTGCTGAGGCTATGCGGTTGACCAGAAACGTACGTAATCCCTCCTGAAGAAAATTGGCCAAATCTTCAGTTAGTTATCTTACAATATGTGCACATGCAGCAACCATTAGTAACGTGTGTATTCACCAATCCCAGCACCAACCCTTAGCCGTAAGCCAACTTAGATATCAGCGACCAATACCCACAATTTTTAGCATTGCCAGGTGCTTGTTCAATGTGCTCGCCTATCTATCTTTCATATTCTATCCTTTCTCCATCTTCGTCGGAGCATTATTACCTTTGTTTTAATCTTTAAAATTCAAATTTACTTTTTTCCGTTTAATTTTATAGTTAATTATTCTTTTCATAATATTCGCGATTAGAGAGTTTTTTTTCGCCATTTCTTCATCCCAAAATTATCAGAATTAAGTTGAAAAGTTTTTGATGAAAAAATTAAATTGAGTTCATATCATCCAGCTCTTCATTTTAAAACCATTAAAATCAATATTTTTAATTCTTGGTTTAATGATTTTTAACTATCACAAAAATGAAATTAAATAAAACGTTTTTTTTTTTGCATTCATTAAAATGATTGATTTTCCACATTAATCGCGATCAAAGTTCATTTCTTCATTTGTCCATCCAAAATCATCAAAAGTAATATAAAAAATTCTTGATTAAACGTAATTTTGTCAAATATCAAAATTAAATTAGTAAAACTTGAAAATAATATATTCAAAGTTGTTTATTAATATTCTGCAGTTCTATTAATGATGAGCTTCGGTTTACAGTTTGGTTTATGATTTTCTTTTTATTCATGTCATTATTATTCGTTTCTTTCTGTTTATCAACCGTATCACTAGCTAAACTAGATAACTCATGCTCCTGTTTGAATCATTGCTACTTTTTTCATATTTACTTACCCATTAAATATTTAATTTATATTTATTCCACTATAAACAAAGTACCATGGCGTATAAATTGGGTTGAAAGACAGAGAATGCTGCTACATGCCAAGATCGCGATAAATACCATCACCTCCATCACCAAAAATGTCTTTTATCATAATGAGACAAAAGTTTGTTTTTTTTTTTTCAGAGTTTTGTTCAGAGTAAATGAATTGAAATTAAGCTATTAAAAATCAGTGTTCACAGTATTTTTCACATATAATTAACAAACTAAAAAACTTAAATGCTTAGAAAATTATTCAAATGAAATAAAGTAATAAATAATGTTAGTATATGTTGGAAAATAAAATAGTGGTGACTTCAGTCTAGTTATTAAAGGAATGTTGATGATTGTCGGCCACACATTAGCACTTGGCAATGCTTGCTAGCATCTAGGGAATTACCTACACCCGAAAGTGCCTGTACCGCTGTGTTGAGATTTTTTTAAAAAGAAAATATAAGTTTTCATGCACGCTGTATACGAAAGATATTTTTCAACCATTAATCAAGTAATTAATCGATAGAGAGGAAAGATTTTTATAATAGAAACAATCACCTCAATTTATCTACCACATTCGCACATTCATTACTTAAATAATCGTTTTACGAGCTTCATGATATTAAATTGTTTCTAATTAACAATTAATAGTTATTTATTATTAAATCATTTATAATTATTATTTCATTCAATTCATTTCGAAATTAATGAGAGATTTTCATCAAGCTCGAAAAACGTCAACGTACAGTTATAAAAATAATTTATAAAATTAAAGATAGTTAGAGATTTTAATTTAAAGTCGCTACAGTTTGGCTTCCACTTTGCCCAAAGTCTTTTTTGTACCAAAGTTTTGTATTTTTATGCGTGTATGAGTAATGCAAAGCTGCACAGGCTACTGCGCCATTTTTCATATATTATACAGTCGTTCAATTAAACCCTTTCAAACTTATCGTTATAGCTGAAGTTATTACCCTTCTACGATTTTTTAGTATACTTTATTATTTTTTTAAGAAGAGGAAATGGTATTCTTTAATATAAGGACAAGTTATTTCGTTTGCACTCTTGATGCATAACATTATTTGTTATTTAGTAATTAATAATGTTACACATAAAACTTGTCTGCCTTCTGCAGCGCCATTTGCCTCTATAATATTTTTTTAAACAATATCTATTCGTTATATCTATAATAAATGTTGTAATTTATATAATTGTATTGATTTTTTAAAAATATTTCTAATGTCCGAGCTTGTAAAATCAATAACAATAAAAATAAAAAAAATAACAAGTAATGAAATTATAGATTTTCATACGGTTAAGAACCCGATAGTGCAGTCATAAAATTAAGGCAAAGAGTTTGGCAACAGCAGCAGGCAACCATACATTCTATACAGAGTAAATAAATAATCAAAGCACTTACCTTGAACTGCTTCCTGGGATATCCTCTCGCCTGATGTACTTGGTTTCGAAAGTAAGAGTCCTAATAAATAATATAAAAAATTAATTAAGCATAATTGTACATGAGATAAATTATTTAATTAATAATTGATGACATTTTTAAAATTATTAAATTAAATAAAAAATTACCAATATCTGCTGAATGTTTCCCATCTGATATATCTGGAGCGACTTGATTTGTATAAAACGTTTGAGTGATATCAGGTTTATGATCATCTTCGGCTATACTTGAAAGTGTATCATCCCCCAGCTTAATCGTAGATCCATCTCCGGTACTCTGTTCTTCATAACTACAACTACTACCATCTTGTTCTAAATATTCTGGCATTTCAAGTTTTAAATTCGGCATTAAAGGTATTATTTCTACTGGGTCTGTGCTCGTAGCTCCTTGATTCTCTGATAATTTGTCATTTAGATCTTTTTTCGAAGCATTTGATTTTTCTGCATTTAATGTAGAATTATCTCGACATTTTCGACGTTTTGTTGGTGGTGTGTCTGGTTGTAGGTCAATTGAGTGATATGGCAATGGCGATGATGGTGATTTGCTTCCTTTACTGTTCGTCATTAGTTTGCCTGAGGCATTTTGAAGCTGAACTTCGGGTTCATTAGGTACATCAACATCCTCCTGTACAAGCACGAAATACAATTATTTATCAGTTTATAAATAAATAATAAGTAGTTAAATTTATTTAATAAAATGGATTATTAAAAGTTATTAGAAAAAAAAGGTTACCTCTATAATACTATCATTATCTTTTCCAGTTCCATCAGTGAGACCCTGTACTGCCAATAACTCTGCTGTTGTTAAGAAACTTGCTAACTGTTCCTGTACAACGTTTACTTCTCCTTGATACATGAAGTCAACTAAGGCTGCCAAATCATCGAATTTGACGTTTCGAAAGATAATGACTGGATGCTGACAAGGATTTTCCTGAAGAAGTTAAATTTTAAGTTTAAATAGATTAAATTCAAACAATTATTTGCGAACAATTTAATTAATAAATTGTATTAAATTCTTTACCTTAAATAAATCACGAAAATATGTACTGCATGCAGAAAGTAGCATTTTGTGAGCCCTAATGCGTTTACCCTCGCAGCTTAAAGTTACATCGACCAGATCTTCATCAGTTCGGAGAGTATCAAATGCACAAGTAATGTGCTTTAAATAATTATTCCACCTAAGTGAAAATTGTTGACTTGAACCCATGTTTTTTTCTGGAATAAAAAGCTAAAAGAATTAATTCAAGACTGTTATTTAAGTTCTCACATAGTAAAACATGTGAATCACTCGTAAGTATTGATTACATATGATTGAGAAAAAAGCTTCGTACCTTTTAGTGCCTATTTCGATGACGAATAGTTGATAATACGAATCTATTTTATTTTATCTTCAAACTCGTTTAGTTTATAAAAATTTAATTTTATAATTATTTGTTTATCATAAAAAATAGTGAAAATGTTAATTTTACTTTAATATCAGTCAGCAAAACTTTTTTTAATTCACATAAAATAGGGACTGTAAACAGTAACACAGGATTTTCATGGCACCATAGAAGTTCACGACAGAATATGCACTCAAGCGTCCATACTTTCAGTTACCGTTTTTATATAGAAACATTCAATTGCACCACATTACTTATGTAAATTCATGTACTATTTGATTTTTCGTTAAATCTTAATAACTTTTTATGAATTAGACTTCCCGATAGAATGACAGCTGGTAGCCATTTTCCTTGGAGGAAAACGCGTAAGTTGCGCAAAAGAGACTCACTTCTTCTTGATTCACGCACCGTGCGTAGGTCGTCGCGACGCAAAAGGTCGATTCTCGTTCAGCGATAAAATGGCCGCCAACTATTAGTCCCTAATTTTTTTTATTTTGAACCAAATAAATTATTGATTACTTCAAACTAACAAATATGTTGATCACCTAATTTTTTTTATATTTTAGATACGCTTTCATTTCCTGTTATTATTTTATTCTATGTCAATAACAACTATGAAAATACCTAGTCAATTGAAGTTTTAAAAACTAAAGGTTTTATGAGTAATGAAAAACAATTTATTTTTTTCAAAAATATCATTTTTTATGTCATAATTTTTTACGAAATTTTTTATTATAAACAAAATTTATTTTTAACAGTAAACAAAATCATTTTTGCTCTACGATTATTATATATATATTTTTATACATATATTCATTTGATTCGATCTAGATAGCTTTACTTTTTTTGCTCAGCTTAATATAAGCTTTGAACTTATTTTTGTATAATATCCTTTGGTAATATTACAAAAAATAAAACTTTTTATACAGACTTATTTAGAAACGCTTAAATAAATTTCACTGAAATGTTATTATGTTTAGAGTTGTTCGTTTCTTTTTCATAAAATATTTAAGTAAAGTTCACTACATAGTACTGAAATTTAAAAAATACTGTAAAAAGTGTTTAATAAATCAGCAATTTACTAGTATAATTCGATGAGTTAAATAAAATTTTATCCATGTAGACAATGGTCAATTTGATCTAAATGAATAATAGAAGGAACATCATTCAGCAGGTTTTAAAAACATTTTCTTTTTTACTGGGGAATATCCATGACTTTCTGTGATACTACTAGAGAATTGACTACGGTTCCTTTTAGTTTGGAATTTCTTTCCCATCGAAATAACTCGTGAGTTTTCAAAATGCTTGGCCATTTTTTCGTCAGATATATCAGTCTCTTTCTTTATTTCAATTTTCGCACGTTTCATTTTTGCTTCATGTTCCATTATTTTTTCAATTTCTGGATTCATACCACGAAAACTTAGTCGACCCTCAATTAATTGCTCACAAAAAACGTAACTTGGCTCCATTGTAAATTTTTCACTAAAAACAGATATTTATAAAATTATAAATAAAAAAGATATCAAAGTTTTTTTGCATATTTTTTTAAATGATTTAGTCAAGATTCTATTTTATGAATGAAATGATTACTTACGTTGCTTTTTTTAGCCTTGCTGTCAACTCATTTTCAAAATATTCTTCTCCTTCTGCTTGAAATTGTTGTAGCTCTACTTTTTCTTTTGTCCTCTTCATAAACTATTGAAGTTTACAAATCATAACAAAATAGTGAAATTAATAAATATTCTATTAAAATGGATTAATTATTTTGAAAAAGTATGAGTGAAACTGTGCAGGTATCATTTTTGGAGTAAAAAGAAAAATATAATAGAAAATATGTATAACTTTAAAAACCGAATTAAAATATACATTATTAATTACTTAACAAATTATATTTATAAAAAAATAAAACAAAATTTAATTGCTTTTTTTCAAAAATAATTTTGTAAACACGTGTTAACCTTAATTCTTACCTTCATTTCTAATATACTTTTTGATAGTTGCATTTTTCCATAATCATTGGAGCCCATTTTGCTAAATTTTTGCTTATTTTCTCAGTAAATAAATTTCTAAATCGTTAAATGTTTATTTTGAAATAAATAAACTATTATTGGACTAAAAACAGAGAGCTCTTCTATATGATATTTTTTCTCACTTCAGCTCGTTGACAACTGAAGTCAATGAAGAGTCTCCAATAACCACCAATAAAATAAGTCAAAAATTATAAACGTTAATTTTTCCCTAAGAAATTGTGTAAATAACAAAAGTGGTTATTTATTTTTATAAAACGTGACATCAGACAGTATAATTATGATAAGGTTCGTGGTAACTTCATAATCATTATAATATAGATTATTATAAAATTTGCATATAAATATCCCATGAAAATAAGGTCTTTTTTCTGTTAACCTACAAACAACTTCATTGGTACTGTAATCAAAGTGATTTAAGTGGAAATATTTTTGTGATTTTGTTAGGAATTATTAAAAAAATATAAATTGTAATGGGAGAAAAAAAATCTGTCGGTTTAGGACCTTTTATTTATGGAGGTTTAGCTTCAATTGTTGCTGAGCTGGGTAATAAATTATTTTCATTTTTTTTATTTAATATCTCAAAAGTCAAAGTCTTATCTTATAATTGTTGCATTTTTTATTTTAATAAATGTATTGTTGTTTTTTTAGGTACTTTTCCATTAGATACTACAAAAACACGTCTACAAATTCAAGGTCAGAAGTTAGATAAAACTCATTCAAATTTAAAATATAAGGGTATGATAGATGCTTTAATTCAAATGATCAAATATGAAGGAGCCCAATCTTTGTATTGTGGGTAAGGATTAAAAAATTTTTTTTTGCTTTTTTGCACTTGAAAGCACATAATTAAAAACTCACAACTTTTAAGTTACAATCATGCCATAAATAAAAGTTATAAGACACGTGAAAAAAAAATCTTATTAGACTGATGAAAAAAAGATTCTCACATTTTTGATCCTACATTTATTTGATTAAAAAAATTTATGATCTCGGGTTGCTGACGGTTTTGTCGCAGCAAATGAATCCATAGAATGAGCTCAGATGGGGTGATGCAAGCTTGATCAACTGCAAAATAATGACAGAGTTGCTAAAGGCATGGTCTAGAAGGAGATAGTGCTTCTAGACTGCCGGAAAACTGATCATTCAATGATAACTCCATCACCGCTAAGTTTCTGCACTCTTTCTGAACCCCTGCCTGACTTTTCTGCGACTGTAAGTTATTCCTAGTCTTCATCGGTCGTTTAACATCCTTTTGAGGCGCACTATTAATCTTTAATTTTTTTCTAATTTTGATGAATGTCATCAACATATTTTATTTATAAAAATAATTTTTACATCTATATTTTTTATTTTAACAGAATTAGCTCAGCAATTTTAAGACAAGCAACATATGGAACGATAAAATTCGGAACATATTATTCTCTTAAACAAATGGCTATTGACAGATGGGGGACTAATGATTTAGTACTTATAAATGTTATATGTGCCGCAGTAGCAGGCTCAATATCAAGTGCAATAGCTAATCCTACAGATGTAGTCAAAGTTCGAATGCAAGTTAGTGGAAATCAGGGAAATTTATCGTTGTACGATTGTTTTCATGATGTTTATCGACATGAAGGTGTACGTGGTTTATGGAGGGTGAGAATCAATCTCTTAATTGATGTTAAAAATTTTACAAATACTGTCTAATACTAGATATGTACTAGGGTGTGGGACCAACTGCACAACGAGCAGCTGTTATCGCTGCTGTAGAATTACCTATATACGATTTTACAAAACAAAGGTTAATACCTTATATTGGTGATAGTGTCAGTAATCATTTTCTGTAAGTATTAGTTAAATAATCTTAACGTAAATAATTTTTTTTTAGTTGCTTTAAATTGATTTTTTATCTACCACATGTGTTCCTACAGTTCATTTAATTATTTTTAGCACGAACTTTCTTTATTATTATTATATCTAATTTTTTTAAATTATTTATTCTAGTTCGAGCTTTGTTGCCAGCACAGCTAGTGCCGTTGCTTCCACTCCAATTGATGTCGTGCGAGTAAGAAATTATGCAATTACACATATTGTTTAACATAATTTTTTGCTATGCTAAACACGCATTAATATCGTAGTGTAATTAATATTTAAATTATTTCAGACTCGTCTTATGAATCAAAAACAAATTAATTCATCTACTTGTTCAACTTCTCATTACTTATATAAAGGAAGTGTAGACTGTTTTTTTCAAGTAAGTATATTAAAATTTATTTGTTCAGAACAACTGATTCATTTAAAAACTCTAACATTTTAGACAATTAAAACAGAAGGTGTATCTGCGTTGTATAAAGGTTTCGTGCCATCATTTCTCAGAATGGGCCCATGGAATGTAATCTTTTTTATCACTTATGAACAGTTAAAAAAACTACCATTTTTTTAATCAAATACTGAAATATTGTACCTGTATAGATAGCAAATTGTAAAATTAAGACTTCATTTTTAAAATTTTACTCTGATGAGATTGTTAATATATTTAATTAAAGATCATTATATATTTATTTGTTAAACAAAACTTATATAAGTCATCGTCCAATAATTCAATCAAATATACTTTATATAGAAAATAGGGAATGATATTAAATTTGGCATGTCTTTCATTTTTTACATAGATAATTGTATTTTTAATCACTAGTGACAGTTCCAAACAATGATTTTTTTATCATTGCCACCTGTTATCACATATTTATTATTTGCTGTGACGATCATTGCTGTCAAAGGCCCTAAATAAAAAAAACTTTTCTTTTAATATATTTATCCAGTTTATATTTTTTTTGCAATCACTCACCCTCATGACAGTGTTCTTTCGACCGGAAATTAGCTCCATACGAGTCCCATACTGTGAGATTTCCCTGACTATCTCCAACAAGTAATAACGATCCACTCCAGCTTAATGTCAATGGCTCTTCCTCTAATGATGTACTATATATTTTTGTAGTGGTTTGGACATCGAATATGTTTATCAATTTATCACTGGCACAGGAAATGATATTTTTACTTTCTAGGTCGAATAATATTGCATTTATTTTTCCTGAATGTCCTACACAAAATTGTAGTATTGGCTTGATTAAAATAAGGTTCTATAAATAGTAATTTAACTACGAAAGCTTCTTTTACGTACCTTTTGCTGTAAAATATATATCATAATTATTCATGTTCCATACAAATATTTCACCATCGTCCGTACCTGATACTAATAATTTTTCATCACTGTAAATAAAAAATTTATATTATAAAAATTGTGTATGGATGAGCAGATTTTTTTCCTTTTTCAAGTTTTATGAAATCATTATCGATAATAAAATGCAACATCAGACCTTGAAATGCTAAGGCACGTGACTTTAGAGTCATGATCAAGTTGGGCAATTAAACATTCCTGCGGTTTTATTTTTGAACCAGATTCATGAAAATGCCATATTTTCACTGTACAATCCCAAGACCCAGACATTACAATATTTTTAGAAGGGCTCCAAGCTAAACATGAAACCGCATCTTCATGTCCTGTTAATACATCCACTATTCTTCCAAATTCTACATCATAAAAAATCCTGTAAAATTAAAATTAAAGTATGAAAAGTTATATGATGTTGATTTGTTTGACGTATAAAAAAAAAACATATTCAAAAAAAAACTTACAAAGTATCATCCCACGAACCTACAAGTAAAATATTTTGTCCAGTTTTTGTCTTATAAAATATACACGAAGACAAAGGTAAATTTGATAATGATATGCTTCGAGTCAATTTCTTGGTTTGCAAAGAATAGATTTTTAATATTCCATCATGACCAACAGATGCAATTTCATTTCCAGTATTATTCATGGGTGTGATGTGTAATATTGATTCCTTATGGGACGGAAATACGAAATATTGTCTCAGGGCAAATTCACCTTCTTCTTCTTCTTCATTTTCTGGATTAACACAAAATTCTCATGAAATTTTAATAATGATTTCTGAATTAGTATTTCAATCAACTACATACCATTAATAGTATTTGATTGAGAATTTAGTAATGTTTCATTCATTAAATTCACAGCCGGCATAAGTCGTTTTGGATGAGGTAAAGTGAAAATTTGTTTAGGAATTTGACCAAATTCCATAATTTGAACTTCTAAACCATGTCGGTCATTAATATCTTGAATTGTATCTAAATCAACAGCTCCTTCATAACACAGATAAAAAAATACTAAAAGAAAAAATTAAAGATTAACTCGTAACTTTATTCAAAATTATGAAACTATGTTAAATATTCTCATAATACTAACCGTTATCCGCTTTTTCCGCCTCTTTTCCTCTTTGTTTATATCCAAATATTAAATCAATCCAGTGATGAAGATTTTGAGACACCCAGTCACTTTCCAAGGCATTTCTTAATTTTTGTACAAAATCTGCAGGTCCTAAGTAAGTAATTCTCGATGATATTTTTGATAACTAATTATTAATTGCAGTAAAAATAAGCAATTATTACCTTCTGCCCATGGTGGCAAAAAAACATCACCAACTTTAGTCCCATCATATCGATATCCGAAATCAATTCCAAAATTATTCGTAAGGAAATCACCACCATTCGTAGGATCATAAAATTCTGGGACTAGTTCTTTAAAGTCAGACATATTTGCCAATACATTTTTCCACACGTCCGCTACACTGTCAGGTTTTTTTTCTTGTTAACGAGCGTAACAACAAATTGATTCTGCAGAGTTAATCAAGCAACCACGAATAGATATATTGAAAAGTTTAAAAACCCCCCTTTTTTTGTTTGCTTAATGCTTTATCATTAAATTCAAATATAAACCGATAAATTTTTAATGCATATTTTTTTAAAAGTAAACAAAAAACTTACTTATTAAACATCCTATCTGGATGATCAAATCTACCATTCTGAAGACAGAGCATGTATTGTGGATATTTTCGGACCAAATAAAATAACACAAATCCTGGAGCACTGTAGTGTGATCCGTAAAGAAATTTTTTTTCTGTCATCTCTTCATATCTTTCCTATAATAAAATAATGAAATTTAATACACAATAACACGAATTAAATTTACATAATTTGATTAAAAATAATTAATACCTTAAGACGTTCCAATCTATTCGGTTCTAAGGCACCAATTGGTTTAGAAAGATCTCTATATACATTAGGATCATCAAGATCAAGCGTTGATGATGTATAATCCTGAATAATCCATGGCATTACTGGATATTGTGTTAAATCATGAAAAGTTCTATCAGCTAAACTATACGAAAAGTGAAAAATAATTATTCAAAAAATATCAATTTAAAAATGTCAAACAAATGTTGATGTACCTGTTAATGTATAATAGATAATCGTAATTTGATAAAGCTCTATTTTGCCAAAGTATTGTCATTTGATTTTGTGGTACTGTCTCCAATTGAAGATCTTTTTGACTAATTATACACTCATAAAGTTTATCTCGGTCTTCTGGAGTTTTTACTGACAAAAATAAATATTCTGTTTTATTTTCCGGCTGCTTTATCCATTTTATTTCTAAACCCTAAATAACAGATTATATATTATTTAATCCTCTATTTTATGCTTTTGATTTTTCATCTATCTTTTAAAGATATTATTTGTTAATTTAAAAAATTCTTACGATTTGACGTAATAAAAATCTTCTTTTTTGAATATTTTTCACATTTCGAAGGTTTATCTTCAAAACTGGGTGCTAAAAATATATATTGTATAGCAGATTACATTTTAGAGCAATATAAATAATATAATTTGATTAATTGTTGATAGTTTACTAACCTGATCTAAATTGTTATAAGGTTGAAAATAAATTCTAGAATTTGTTAATAACACTCTTCCTGGATTTATAATTAAAGGAAGTACTTTACTTGCTTGAACTTCGCAAACTACCTGTTCATATAAATCTTCCAACCAAGATGTGTCAAATGAGAATCTCGACTGTCTCGAATGAACGATTGTCATAATCTAAAAGTAATTACAAAAATATAAAGCATAAATGTTTACATGTAATTAAAATTACGAATAAATCTAATATGAATGAAATTGAATTGAATACCATTGCATTTTGTTCAGCAGTTGGAAGAGTAGATGCTCTTAAAAGCTGCATGATATGTGGAAGACAGTCATCTGGATTGGCATAATTAAAAGATACTAAAAAGTGGGCACTTTTATGTACAAATTTATAGGGTTCTAATCGATTAGCTTTTAGCATTTCAGCATACTGTTTACACGTAACAGATAAAACCTTCCTGTAAAAAAAAAGATTGAATAATGAAAAATAATTTATGACAATACATGATGATAGTAAGTACAATAAAGTACAAGTTGATTAAAAACAAAAAAAAAAAAAAAAACAAAAGATTTTAGTTATTGCTCTAAAGCAATTATTTACCCTGAATCATCTTTATTTTTAACACTTTCGACTGATATGATTTCTTTCATTTGAAATTTAATTAGTGGCTCATTGATATCTTTGTTAACAAAGACTAGAGATTTCGAGCAAAGTTTCAATCTTCCATCCATCCAATCATTTGATGAATTATTTTCTGTTGAATTATTTGACTTCATTTTTACACTATAATCTTCAAAGAATATTTCTCCTGGTTCTAACAGGAGCATAGTAAATCTGAAAATATAAATAAATAAACAAATATTGTAGAATATCATAGAGAAAAATAATAACATAAAATATACATAATGAATACAGAAAATAGCTACCTTTCTTTCTCCATATTTACGATATGGATTTTACAAGGAAATATTTAAATAAATATTTATTAATTCATTTTACCAATTAAAATTATATTAAAGTAATGTTTATTTTAATGCAAAAAATAGTATAATTATATTTATAATAATATAATAATATTGACGAGTGGACCACCCGACGAGGAAAAAATAACTGAAGTTCATGTCAAACCGTCAAGGTTATGAAACTGTATATTCGAGTACGTACACAGAGCGCTTATTTTCAAATATTAGTAATTTATTGTATAAAAAATCATTGTTAAATAACTATCTTTGTAAAAATCTCAATTCGCTAAGTATTAAGCTGAACAATGTAGAGTCATTTTTAACAATTTTATTAATATTTTTATTTCATTAACATTATTAATTATATGATAATTTAGTATGAGCATTGTTTTTAAATATTATTAAATGAAATTGTATGTAGCTATCATATTTAATTTGCTGTTGCTTAACAAGTTAGGCTTTGCCATTTTTCGCCAAATGATCATAAATTTATTTACATACTTAGTACATTTTATATATCAATTTATTGTTAACGTTCATACGACAATCGATGTTGAGTATGAAACTTTTAAAGAATCAAAAATCGTACTATCAACAGTAAAAATACGTGTTCACAAAAAAAAATTAAAAAATCAATTAAATATCTATAAGAAACCTAGTAATTTACAAACACATGAAAAAGTGATCTTCATCCTCTGTGAGGTTTTCAACGTATTTTATTGATATTATTTATTAATTCCTCTTAATAAGTAATTAATCTAAATCTAATTTTGACATATTACTTAAACCACCCGTTTGTACTTTTGACATTCTCATTCTTTTAAATGCTGTTGTTAAATCTTCTTGTAAAATCGGACGCAGTGACTCATGATATTCTTCTTCATTGGTACTTTTGTTAGAGAGCATGTCTGCGAAAGAACTGAAAAAGATGGTTCATTAATATAATTATCAATTAATCCATCTAAAGGTTGATATATTATTATTATTGAGCTGTCAGTAAAATATTACATATGTTAGTATTTATTTAAAAAAAAAAATTTTAATGCATACTTGGGATGATCTCGTGAGTAATCACGAACTCGATATAAGGATGCAGTTCGACATAATTCATGTAAATCAGATCCGGAGAATCCTTCAGTTAATTTTGCAATCATTCGAATGTCTACGTCTTCAGCAATTGGTTCTTGTCTCAATATTAAATTCAAAACTTGTATACGTTGCTGTTCAGTCTATAAAAAAAATATTTCTTATTAATTATTCGTTCATGTAATTATATTATTGTCTCTTTAGATAAGATCGACGTTATTTGATCTTTTTGAAATAACTTATGACTGGAAAAATAATTACTGGCAATCCCACATGGAATGTGGCTGGCATACGTCTGAGGATGGCTTGATCTAGATCTTGAGGTCTATTAGTAGCTCCCATTACTATTACTGTGCATGATGGATCAGTAATTAAGCCATCCCATAAAGACATAAATTGCGCTTTCATCATAGCAGTAGCTTCATGATCTTGTGTATTTCGAACTCGTAAAAATGAATCTAAATCATTTTAACGTTAGTATTAGTTTTTATTCAATAATCTTAATAATGCAATAACTCACCTATTTCATCAATAAAAATAATACATGGTTGGAGTTTCACAGCTAAAGAAAATACAGCAGCAGTTAGCTTTTGGCTTTCACCATACCATTTATTAGTAAGAATACTCAAATCCAAGTTTATAAAACAAGTGCCACTTTCTTTGGCTGTAGCTTTTGCAATCATTGTTTTTCCACAGCCCGGTGGCCCATATAAAAGTACTCCCTTAAATTATTCAGCTTTTTAGTGAAACAACATTAACAGAAATATAAACTTCAATCATACCTTTGGTGCTTGTGTTAATTTAGAATCTTCGAAAAGTTCCTTTCTTTTTATAGGAAGTATAACAGTTTCTTTGAGCTCTTGAATAATTGAATCAAGCCCAGCGATATTTTGCCATGAAACTGGAATATCTTTTGGATCAATCAAATGAGTAGCTATCATCATTTCATAGTCAGTTAATTGACTAGTGTCAATAGAGAAACTAACTCCACTTGTTTTTTCAAATTTTCGTAACTGTTCCTGAGCCTAAATAGTGATAATCAATTTGTTAATAAAGATTATAATTTTAATGAGTTACTAACAACATGAGTAGGTTAGAAAAAATTATATGATGAATAATGACAACTCATTAAATACTAGTAACGAACCTTTTCTTTGGCTTTTTTCTTAGCTTTTGACATTGGATCTATTTGACTCATAATCCATTTCATACTGAAAAAACCGATAGCGGTAACTATCGATAGTCTTGCAATTAATGTAAACATTTCATAACGAGTGAATCCTGCGCCGTCTGCCACATTCATTCTGATTAATTTTTTTCTTTCAAATATATAATCTAAATTAGCTATCAATGATTTTGCTTATTTTATAACTGGTTTTATAATTTTGTTAGTCATGTATGTATCTCATAATCCATTGAAGCATTCGACACTGTAATTTAACGATATACTAGTGGGAATTACAGAACAAATTTTTATTAATAAATAATTTTTTTTATAGAATTATTAGTTGATTTAAAAACTACTGTATATAAAAAACAATATTTTCAATTAATGTTTACATTCGTACACACGTGACAATCAAATAATAAACTGAAATTTTCAATGTTAAATTCAGATAAATTTGTTTTAAATGAATATATCGCCTTTGGAGCACGAGGACGGCGAAAGTCCAGAATGAAATTGTACTGAATCTTTTGTGCTGGGTCGATTGAGCTATAGATGGATCAAAGTATAGTTCGTGAATAGCACATATCATGACAGGTGAACCTGTACATCGACGATACTATAGTGTAATAAATATAGCAGAGAGAAAACTATTCCATTCAAGAAATTCTAACCTACAAACTGTTAGGCAGTGATGTTTTTGTTATCGACAAAACATGTGATAATGTATTTGATTGTTGAATAATCATTTTTTTTATCTTAAACAGTGATAAAATATACTAAAAATACTTGTTATTAATTTTTAAAGTAAGTTAATGTCTTATTTATATTATACAGTGATGCATAATAATTCTTTACAATTGATTTTATTTAATTATTTATCGTTTAGGTGAACAGGAGGAACAATTTCTCAGTTTCTTGAAAATGACTACTCTTCCAACACTGGGAAAAACATGGAGCGAGCACAATCGTATGATGAAAGAGCAGAAAAAGAAGAGAAAAGAAGAACAGTTAATGAAACAGCTTGAAAAAGAAACTAAAAAATGTCAAGAATCTGAAATAATAAATCCAGCTTCAGAGTATGATAAAATGAATATATCAACGTTAAGTATTGCTGTGCCAGGATCAATTTTAGATAATGCCCAGTCCCCAGAGCTACGAACTTACTTAGCAGGTCAAATAGCACGTGCTGCATGTATATATAAAATTGATGAGATAATAGTGTTTGATGATCAGGGAGATATTACAGAACCAGAAAAGAAAAAAATGAAAAAAGATGAACAGTTGGGAGAAGCAAGACTTGGATGTCTTCAATTAGGTCGAATCTTGCAGTATCTTGAGTGCCCACAATATTTACGTAAATATTTTTTTCCTTTACACAAAGATTTACAATATGCCGGAGTTTTAAATCCTCTTGACGCTCCTCATCATCTAAGACAACAAGATGCATCTTTATTCAGAGAAGGAGTTGTTACTAATAAACCAATTAAACCAGGAAAAGGATCTCAAGTGAATGTAGGGCTTTTACAAGATGTTGAAGTTGATAAAACTCTTACTTCTGGATTAAGAGTAACTGTGAGAATTCCTCCTGATCAAAATACAAAAAAATTAAAAGGAACGATTGTTTCACCAGATACTCCAAAAAAAGAAGTTGGACTTTATTGGGGATATAATGTTCGACTAGCTTCTAACATTTCTGAAGTGTTCTCTAAGTGTCCTTATGACAAAGGGTATGATCTAACAATTGGAACTTCTGACAAAGGAAAATCTGTCGATGATTTAGAAGTAAAAAGTCTTCAGTATCACCACGGATTAATTGTTTTTGGAGGAGTAGCTGGATTAGAAGCTGCTGTCGAAGCTGATCCTCTTCTAGATGTGGAAGACACTCCATTAGTGTTTAATGAATATTTAAATACATGTCCTAATCAAGGATCTAGAACAATAAGATCTGAAGAAGCTATTCTAGTATCCCTTGCTGAATTGCGAACCAAGTTATCTCCTATTTATCCATCGAAGTTTAATTTACAGTTTCCAAACCTAAATAATAGTTGTGAAAAAAATTGAAGCTTCTATGGAAGAAACAACCAAGAGATTACGAATTAATAAACTTATATAATATGTAAAAATAAATTTTTATCATTTTTATAAATTTTTTGTTAGCTCTGCGTTTACTGTATTTCTTAAAGACGATATTACTTTTTCTGGATCTTCTGATTTAGTCACTGCTGTTCCGGAAACTATCATATTAGCTCCGGCCTAAAAACAAATTAATTATTTGATATCTTTGATATTTTTAATTATTTTATAAATTCATAACAATTTTCATGAAGCGTCTGAACTTTACCTCAGCACAGGCATGAATGGTAGTCGGTCCAACACCTCCGTCAACTTCAATATCAAGTGTTGGATAATTTTTTCTTAACCATTTAACTTTATCCATCATATTGTCCAGAAATTTTTGGCCACCGAATCCAGGCTCAACCGTCATAACAAGAATCATATCAGCCATATCAACATAATCAGTAACTACGTCTACGGGAGTAGCTGGCTTCAAGGCTATTCCAACCTAAATGCAATTATTAGTTGAAACAATTCTTCTACAATAGTAAAAGCATTATAAAAAAAAATTTTTACTTTCATTCCAGCTTCTTGAACTTTTCTACAAACTGATGCTACATCTTTTACCGGTTCCACATGAAATGTATATTGATTAACACCTGCATCAGCCATTGGTTCAATCCACTAAAAAAAAGATTCGTAGTGCATGATGTAAAATTTATTTTAATATATATATTTCATGAAGACACACCTGTTCAGGTTTTGAGACCATCATGTGAGTTTCAAAGAATGCATTTTTAATTTTATTTCTCAAGCACTTAACGATTGGATGACCAAACGTTAAGTTAGGAACAAAATGGCCATCCATTACATCTAGATGTAAATAATCAGCTCCAGAATCCATTAATTTTTGTGATTCATCATAAAGAGATGCTAAGTCAGAATTTAAAATTGATGGCCCAATTTTTGCTGTTAATTGTTTTACCATTGTTATGATTTATGGTGTATCAATGATATATAAACGTAAGTTAATTATGAAAAACACTTGTGAACTATGAACTGATCATTCACTTGTTATTATTCCAGTTCAGTCCACGTGGTTGTGATGAAATTCATAATTCCGCCATTCATGAATGGTTGATCAAAAAATAACGACAGCTTAATTTAATGAAAGATAAACATGAAATGAGCATTTAATTAATTAATAATAATGAATGGAGAATTATCGTATTAATTTCTCTCATGAATTGATTTTGAAAAATGAATTTTTGGCAAATTTTTTAATTAAATCGATACTTTCAAGGTCGTCAGCTAGATGACGTCCCACTAGCGTGACGTTTCGAAGCAAACCAATCAGGTAGAAGCAATAAAATTCATTTTCTAGTCCCTTGAAAAGAATGGACGCAATATATTGTTAGATTAGCATTTATCATAAAGCTTAAAAAGTGATTTATTAAATAATACAAGGGTAATATCTAATTGAACAGTAACAATGAAATATATATTAGTGACGGGAGGTGTAATAAGTGGTATTGGCAAAGGTGTAATTGCTAGTTCATTTGGAACAATATTGAAAAATTGTGGGATTCAAGTCACATCAATTAAAATTGATCCATACATAAATATTGACGCTGGAACATTTTCACCATATGAACATGGTAATATTATTATTTTTGATCTTCATTTAACAATCACCTATTCTTGTGATGTATTTTTGTATTAAATTTATTAATAGTTAGACTTGTATGATATAGCCTATAGTTGTAGCATTAAGCACGCGGTATAAACCCGCTTTTTTAGTCACATGACTTAAGAAGTTACCTATAAGTATGTTAACAATACATCAAAGTTAACTTTGTTTATGTATTAAACACTACATTTTTTCGATACGTCAATAGATTAAAATATAATTAAAATTTAGTCATTAATTGTCAAGGTTTAGAAACTCAATTATCTATAAGTTTTAAAGTGCAGTTTATCAGCAAAATTGATGAATGATGATTAAATAATAATTAAATCATCAAATTTATGAATTAATTAATTGTTTAAAAATATTCTTATAGGTGAAGTGTACGTCTTAGATGATGGTGGAGAAGTTGATCTCGATTTAGGAAACTATGAACGTTTCTTAGATGTAACTTTACATAGAGATAATAACATAACTACTGGTAAAATTTATCAATATGTTATAAATAAAGAAAGACGCGGCGATTACTTAGGCAAAACAGTACAAGGTAAATATAATTAGTTTAATTAGTTGCCCAAGTAATTGTGTAACATTTTAATTTAATATTTGGATTTTCAGTTGTTCCGCACATCACAGACGCTATTCAAGAATGGGTAGAGAAAATAGCTACCCATCCTGTGACAGAGGATGGCAACAAACCAATGGTTTGTGTAATAGAATTAGGTGGAACTATAGGAGACATAGAAGGAATGCCATTCGTTGAAGCTTTTCGTCAATTTCAATTTCGTGTAAAAAAAGAAAATTTCTGTGTAGCTCATGTATCTCTTGTACCTCAGCCTAAATCAACAGGAGAACCGAAAACAAAACCAACTCAAGCTAGCGTCAGAGAACTTCGAGGTCTTGGGTTGTCGCCAGATCTGATAGTCTGTCGTTCAGAGCAAGCAATAGGTCCTGTTGTAAAAGAAAAAATTTCAAATTTTTGTCACGTTGCACCTGAACAAGTTATTACGATTCATGATCTCTCATCGATATATCGTGTGCCATTATTGATGGAAAGTCAAGGAGTTATTGAATTTCTTAATGAGCGTCTTCAACTGAATATCAGCCAAATTCGACCTAGGAATTTTATGAGGAAGTGGAGAGATTTAGCTGATAGTATGGATCATTTACGTAAAAGTGTAAACATTTCTCTTGTTGGAAAATATACCAAACTAGAAGATGCTTATGCTTCAGTAACTAAAGCTCTGCAGCATGCATCTTTAGCTGTTGGATTCAAGTTAAAGTTAACTTATATTGAAGCTGCTAATTTAGAACAACAGACATTGTTAGACCATCCAATCCTCTACCATGAAGCCTGGCAAAAGCTTTGTAAGAGTAATGGAGTTATTGTGCCAGGAGGATTCGGTAAAAGAGGAATTGAAGGAAAGATGGAAGCCTGTAAATGGTGCAGAAAAAACAATAAACCAATGTTAGGTATTTGTTTAGGTTTGCAAGTAGCAGTAATTGAGTTTGCGAGGAATGTCTTGGGATGGACGAATGCTAATAGTACAGAAATTGATCCCACTACTGATCATCCTGTTGTCATTGATATGCCAGAGCATAATACTGATCAAAAAGGTGGAACTATGAGACTAGGTAAACGATATACAAGATTCAAGCCTGAAACCTCTGTTATAAAAAGGTTGTATGGTAACGTTGATGGTATTGAAGAGCGACATCGTCATCGATATGAAGTAAATCCTCAATATGTAAGCGATTTTGAAGCTGCTGGATTGAAATTTGTTGGACAAGATACAAGTGGACAACGAATGGAAATTATTGAACTAGTAGATCATAATTATTATGTTGCTACTCAGTATCATCCAGAATATTTATCGAGGCCTATGAAACCTTCAGCACCATTCCTAGGTCTTATTCTGGCTAGCGTAGGGAAGTTAAAATCATACTTAAATAGAGGATGCAAACTAAGCCCACGTGAACAAAGTGATAATGATTCCGACGATGATGATTTAGTGAATCTCAGAATAGCTTCAGATATCAAAGAAAAAGTTGTAATAGAAGCAGAAGAAAAATAAACATAAAAACAATAACAAGAACAAGTCTGCATAAATGTTTTACAAAGTTTACAATTATTTTTTTTACAAACTTCTATAATTTCCCTGGAACTACACAACGGTTAGTTGTAAAAATTGTTTCGAATTTTTTACTTTTCAATTGATATAAGTATTGATTTCATTATAACATTAAAAATGTAAGATTGTCTTTTAATAAAAAAAAGATAAAAATGGTAATTAATTTTTTCTTTACTCTTATTTTATACTAATTAAAGATAAAAAATGAAACACAATTTCTCTTACATGGAATGTATCACTGTACATTTGTTTATTCAATTATTTATGGAGTTTTTCGCATATAAAAATGGCATATATACAATTTTTTATTTAATTAAGTTATTCCAACTATAAGTATTTATTTTAAGAATTATTTGTTCATACGGACTAAATACTACGAGTAAGTTGATTATGAAAAGTAGAAGAAAATTAAAATAAAATTTAAAATAATTTTTTTAATTTTAGCTAGTAAGTAAACAAAAAATCTTTAAAAAATAAAAAAATTATGTAAAAAATAGATTAAAAATAAAATAAACTCAAAATGCTATTTGGACGGTAAAAATTACAACTAATACTGAATAAATAAATTATAAAAAAAAATTAATTTGAATGTTGGAAGAAAATATTCAACTAGAAAACTAAATCTACTTCATACAATCATCGAACACAGTTAAAAGTACCAAAAAATATTGCTAAGTATTAAAATGTAATCTAAATAAACCATTCTTTTTTCTTTTGAACTTGATGTCCTGTGGCAGAATGAACAACAGCAGAGTCTGGATCTAATGCCAGCTCAGCACCCTTATCTTCTTGAGTCAAATATTCCCCTTTATGCCTTGACATATATCTTCCAATAAGAATCGCCATGATTATCAATGCAATTAAAATCACAGTCAAAACACTTCCTAAAATAGCGGTATCTGTCTCGTTATAAGCTGCTCTCACTTTATCTTGGTCAACAAGAGGAGGTGGGCGAGTTTCTACAATATTTGGTGGATGAGTGACAGGTTCAACTCCACAAAAGTCTTCTGTAGCAGTTCCTGCTAAAGTTTTTATATTTTCTGGACCATTCTGTTGGAAAAGAAGCTTCAATGGATAAATATCATCGAATTGAACTCTTGAAATGCATCCAATAAATCCATCCGACATCGACTCATTCCGGCCGATATACATATATTGAATATTGTTAAATTGAGCATCAGCAGAAGTTTTGATATTAAAATGATACTCTTTTGGCTCATTATTATCAACAATCAGTACCAAAGTAGCACCTGAATTTTTTCTTCTAATAATTAAATCATGATATTGAGCTAAATTAAATAATTTAGATGGATAAATAACTTCTTGTCTTTCAAAACCAAAGTCAAAAACTACTCTTAAATGTCCACTATTAGAAACCATAACAGTCATATATTCTCCAGAAATATTAGAAAATAATCCTAGTAAAAATCCTTTTGCATTAGTGGTAGTGAAACCAACTCGTATATTTTCCGAGATTGTCGATCTCCAATTACCCATAAAATCGTAGCGGATCATTGAGTTTTGCTGCATGTTAACTCCAATTTCATCCGCGCAAATTGGACCTTTGAATGCCGTCCAACGACAATCACAATTATAACCATCGTATCGTTCATGACAAGTTCCATTATTAAGGCAGGGGTTACTTTCACATTTTCCAACACAACCTTCATTTATTCCATAGGTTCCACGTCTCGCATATTGGCGAAGATCTTGAAGTATTCCATTAAGTAAAAGAGATCGAATACATCCAACAAAACCGTCCCGCCATTTCGTTGAAGCACCTACGACAAACTCTGATGTTAAATGTAATGCACGGACTGGACCTGGAGGTTCTCTTATCTCATTTTTCAAAGCTCCATCAATAACAATACGAGCTTCTTTACGGTTTCTTTCGACAGAAACTGAATGCCAGTTGTTGTCATCGAGACGATAAGATGTTTGTACGCTGACTGTCAAAGGACTTCCTCCAGCTTGATATTGGAATTGTACTTGATTGCCGCTGTTTATTGATATTTTAATATAATCTACTGGTCCAGTGCTATGTATTATAACTGCATTTTGAATTGTAGTCTTAAATTCAAAGTAAATGTCACCATTGTGTCCCATGTCAAACGTTGGAAGATCTATTGTTGCGTCAGTAATACGGAAAGTCACTACATTCTTGAATAGATCTGGAAAATAGAAAAAAAATAATTTTAGCAAGTCTATTATTGATTTTAAAAAATTTGTTTTTGCATTTAAAGGAAAATTTAAAAAGCCGTAAATCCGTGGGATCCTAGAAGTCCACATCAACAACTTCTCAATATTCATTATCGATAATCTTTAACCAATACTAGTAATTTTTTTATAATAAGTTAAAAATTATAATTAAACCTGATATTGGAGTTGTAAAAAGCTGTAACTTACCACGGGTTGCCATGGTATTGGGTGCTTATAAACAATAATAACGTTCAAATAAATAATCATGCATTTAACGAATCTTGAACTTACACAAGAATTTTTTAAATTATGTTCTAAGTTTTTTCAATAAGACTAAGTAATAAAATTGATTTAAAAAAAAGAAAAACGTATTATTGAGTTGATAATAGATATTTTAAAGCCCTGTGCCAGCTCAAGAGTGGAAAAGTGCGAGAGTAATAATAAAAATAAATTTTCAATAAACTCACCATCTCCTTCACAAATAAGAGGACCAAGTGTATAACGTCCTTCTTTCTCATCTAAAGCAGTACCGGTATCACCAAATCGTAATTGTCGAACAGGAAGGTATTCTTTTTCCGTAATATCTCCACCATCTTCATACCATCCTTCAAGTCCTGCATCACAGTTACACCATTTCATAGGATCAATACAATTTCCTAAAACACCGCATTCACATTTCCGCGATCCAGGTAATGCACCACCCCAGTAATCCATTTGTTGATTGCTTTTGCTTACCCACCAAGAGTTTGGTTGGAAAACACTATTTTGGTCAACTAAAAAAAATTTTTATAGTTTATATTAAAATTGTTTTGTTCATAAAAGTTTCAGTTATAAATGAATAATGTTTTCTAAAAAAATTAATTATGTAGAAGTTATAAAGCTTCTACTTAACTTCAATAAAAATTAATAGAAAATTCTAAAAAACAATTATATTTTGCTATGTAGTCGTTACCTGGTGTATTAAAAAGTCGAGATTGCTTGCAGGCATAATTAATTCTCTGTCGACAAGAGATAGAGCGGTTTAAAAGAGCTTCAATTTGATCAAAATCAGCATCATATTCAATAATTTGTGCAAAACTTCCGGGCTCTTCATATCCGTCGACAGGTGTTGAAAGTTCATTGCTGTGTCGAACTATAGTCATTACGCGTCCATCAGCATAAAATTCGCAAGTTACTGGGAAGGGATCAAGAGGACCACTTCCATCCACGTCAATTTTAATGTCTGCCTGTTGGTTGACTGCATTCATGTTTTTATATGCTTCACAAGATAGTGGATGCAGAGCTAAATTAATGAATTATTAAAATGATTAAACTTACTAAAAATGAAATGAATTAATTTCAATTTTACTTTGTAAAATATATTGATTAATTAACTTACACAGATGACAAATTGCACCCGTATAACCAGTGTTGGAACAATTACACTCAAATTCATCAGCAGTTTGTGTACATATTCCATTATGTTTACATGGATTTGGAGTACAGCGATCTAACATTTGACAAGCATCGAAAACAATATCGTTCTCGTATTCATCTCTTTTCCAATTAGTTGGCAGTCTGTAGCTACCATCGATGCTAATCATTCTCATACATCCAACAAAACCAACATTTTTCGTAGTTTCTGCTAAACCTCCAGCAATAAAATAATATGCACCTGTTTGGATCTCTAATAACCGCTTGGTTCGCATCGGTCTATCATCTACATTTAATATAATAGTGTTTTTAGAAACCGTTAAAATAACATGATGCCATTTTCCATCGTTGAATTGTTCACTGAAGTCATCTAAAATAGCTGCAGGATTTCCTTTGGTTATTATTTCAACTTTTAGTCTTCCATTTTCCAAGTATAACTAAAAGAAATTTTATATTAATAACCATTTTTTTTTAAATTGATAAAACAAAATTAAGTTAATAAATTTACTTTTATGTGCCCTGGAGTACGGAATGAATGGAATACAAGTAACCCAGCTTTTTGATATGTTCTAAAGGATAAAGATACATTTAATACGGTGGATTCTTCATATCCTCGTAGACGAGCATAACTGTTTGGCGTTAAAAATGTCACTGGAACAATAGGAGGTTCTGGACAGGCGTAAATTGCATTAATTCTATCAAATGGTAAATGTTCTCCCAATGCTGCTTCATAATTTTTCAACTCTTGAAATAAGCTCGTTTTATTTAGATAAAAGTTCTCGAGACAACCCGTGAAATTTTGAGTTACCATGAGGCCTGGCTGTCTATTCGGTACTCCTCCAAGGTAGAGCTGTTAAAATAAAATCAAATTTAATTCATTCTGTCAAACAGTCAAATTGATTGATAAATAACTAATATTTACCGCACGGTTTAAATCTAATCGATGAAATTCTCCTTTGATTCGTCCTTTGATAAGCACTCGATCAACAGAGAGTGCAATGTTCCTTCGGTTTCGTGAAATGAGTACATCATGCCACATGTTGTCATCAAGAAGACTTCCAACCGAAAAACTAGTCGTGATTCCCGAGCCGAGATCGATGTTTAATAACAATTTATTGTCACGTAACTGTACTGCTATGAAATCACCTTGTGTCCCACGTGAATACATCAAAATTCCATCAGCATGGTTGGTTTTGAATCGAAAACGAATGGAATGACGATCGGTTTCGATGGGCTCTCTGACTAAATCCATTCGTACCAGTGAAGTTCCATTAAATGAAATGACATCGGAAACTGAATGATAAAGGATAAATCCAATTAAATAAATTATTGAATTCTATCAACTGCATTAATCAAATAGAAATTTATCGTTATGTTTACCATAATCACAACCATAGAGTTCAACTCTCATGGATATTCGGTTGTGCCATCGAGTAGGATTTATTCGAATCCATTGAGCAATTATAGGCACTTCAAATCTATTTAGTTTTATGGATTCTCCATTTGTATTACCTTTGAACATCTGTCAAAATATATAACTTGTTAAGATAATCAAACAATTTTTCTCATCACACTGACAGCTATAATTAATTATTTTTCATTATCGATTCAATTTAATTCCTTTTTAATTAAAATATTATTATTCGTTATTTATCTTTATATCATGAAAATTTAATTATAAAAACAGATCAGTGTAATAATTTTTTATGAAAAGTTTTGCAATTTTCAACATATTGATATGTCATAATGATATTTATATTCTAAATGATTTTGATGTTATTGTTAACAATAAATCTGTTAATCTTTTATTTAAATTATAATTTTACTTTAACCAATATTATTCTAGCATGCATTAATTAAAAAATTATCTTATATTAATTAAAACGGTCAAAAAGCAACCGCGATTAATCCTATAGTGCATTGATCAATCAAACAGTGCACTTGGCTTAGTGATTATTTGTTATAAATTAAAACTGTTAGTATCAGTGATATAAAAATGTGTTCACAGAAAAGTAATTCACAATTTAAACTTTATGTATCAATAATTATTCAATAAATATATGATAAATAAATAAATATTTAATTTCGATATTAAAATCCACGAAACTGATGGAATACCTCTGCAACGCCTTCTTGACTCTCATAACTAGTCCAAGCTTGCCCGTCATCGGAATATTCAATAATATATTCCGTTACAAACTCGTTAGTATTTGCACGGCCACGTGTTGCAATGCTGCGTATCTCACATCGTGATCCCAAGTCCGCGATGAGATGTTGATTGTAAGAACTATCAAGAGCACTCCACGCGCTAACGCCTGCAAAGCCCAGCCCCGTTTCCGTATTTGTGAGAGAAGAAAGAAGCAAAAGCAATGGTGATAAAATATTTTTGATATATTCATCATTTATCAATTTTTCTTTTAATAAACAATTGAAATATTATTATGTAACAGCTGATAAACAATCAACATATACTATTGAACAATATTTACAAACGACCTTACAATTCAAAAATCATTTTAAAAAAACAAACGTTTCTAATTAAAATTAAATGACTTGTACTAATTATTAAGTAAAAATATATTAAAAACTATTCTACGAAATCACTTAACAGCATGCAAGTTAACACAGTACGATAATAAATGTGCAATATATACATGTATTTGTACATAAAAGTGTGGTTAATTGCCAAGTTTCCAAAACAATTAGATCATTATCCCAAATACAGCCCAAATACATTTTTTGAGCAGATAGTTAATGGTAAGGTAGGCATTATTTGATGATGATTTAATATATTTAAGATAATTTTCCAGTGATTAATTTTTTTACAATCAATTTTTAATTATCAAACGTGATGACAAAACATGAGGCATTTGGTAAACCAGTAATTTACCTTGACATTGCCTTCTTCTTCTTTATAGTCCACATAGTCAAGGTCATTGGTGCCATAGCTAATAGCGTATTCCATAACATATTGACCATGATTGTCACGTCCCTGGGTGACTATCCCTGATATGTTCATTATCTGACCCAGGTCGATTGTCAGATATTGATTATTATCATTGCTGCTAGCGGTCCATGACTTATCGCCTATCACAATAATACTTATCCATGCAACTCAAACTTTTTTTACGCAAATTTTTTGAATTAAAAAAATTTCTTTCAGTAATTGATTTTAAATTTTATTTTATCTGCTCAAAAAGTAGAAGGTAGATTTGATTTTGTAGAATGTAATAAATGGACAAACTTGAATAAATAAATAAACAATTTTATAGATAGAGTAATGAAAGAGCTACCATCCAACTGTAGATATCAAAAGCACGAGAGTAAATTAATAAATGTAGAGATTGCATGGGAAACAATAAGATTATTGTTTACACCAGTTTTCGAAAAACATTTAACAAATATTTGTTTTATGAAAACTTTTTATTCATGCAATCCAATTATTTGGAAAGAAAATAAAATATGTTTCAAACAAATAATGTCAATACTGAAAAGTATTTCAAATAAACTCGTTTTTATTTTGAAATTTGTAAATGACCACTGACAATTGCATACAATCATTATAAAATTGGTTTTTCATCTTTACTAAAATATGATTTACAAAAATCACGATCACATTCAAAAATAGGTACTGCATTTGCCATTAATTGATTAAAATCAAGTCTTTCAAATGTTTTTTTCCTAGATTCACTTTTTATATTTTTTGGTAAAGTGACAGCCACACAATGTTCACTATCAATTAAAGTTTCTTCAAAAATCCAGTCTTGAAGAACTCCTTTTATTTCTAAAACTGTATCATCAATCACTTCTTGCTCCTTAAGTTTCGACGTTGTTCTAAAATCTAAACTGTCTAAATCTACTGTAATTCCACACCCAAGAGCTTTACTGTAACTTTCTTTTAAGGCCCAATGTCTAACAAACATAGCAATTTGTTCAGATTCTGAAGTGCCTGGTGGTCCTTTGATTTCAGTCCATTCATTAATAGTAAAATTACGATTCATAATTCTAAAAAATTCTGATAGAGATTTTCCACCAGAGTATTCACGTTTCATTACATCAACGCCTATCTTCAAATTTCCAAGCTCTCCAGCAAACACCGTATAATTTCCTTGATGAGACACATTAAAATCAACCAATTGAGATGGATGTTGAAGCATGGGTCGATTGTTCTCATCTTTTGTGAGTAGGATTTCATTGTAAGGAATATTTGCATATTCATTGATAAATTTTTTCATCATTAACCTGCCTATAAGCGAGGCTTTTACATCTTTTTTGAAAACAAATCTCCCAATTCGTTCTTTTTCATCTAATTGCAAGCAGGCTACTGCGAACTGAAACTCTTTCTCAGTTGGAGTCCATTCAGACCAATTAAACGACCATCGTGCACTGGTGTGAGTCATCTTAGTTATTATATTACTAATGTTTTTTATCATTCGTTTTTTTTCATTAACTGTCACCTAAAGAAGACATATTTCCCTTATTTTTATTGTAGATTACTGATTCATGCTAATTTTTCTAGTAATATTTATTTTGCTTTCAATCGATTTTTCTTTTTAGCTCAGAATAAATATTTTTGCGAATCATTATGCAATTTTTAAAATCTAGATGATGACAAATTTAAAATCAATTTATCTATGAAATATTAAATATATTGATGATTGTACTGCAAGTCAGTAGTCAGTAGGGTCATTAATTTTTATTTTACTTTTAACAGTAGGAATAATTTTACTCTATACGTAAGCATAATTTAAAAAGGTGTTTCCTACTCAATTGAAACATACAAGCAAATAATATAATAATAACAAAAAATAGAGTAACACTTTGCATTCTAAATATTACTGTTGATTGAAGCTTGAAAAAATGAACAATAAAAATATCAGCTAAAAATCAATTAATTTACCGTAAAGTTTAGCTTCTGAAGGTTCACCGCCTTTGGTATATGATGTAGCTTTTAATTGAGCTTTGTAAAGTAACGGAGTATTACAATCATAATCATCTGGAAATAAGCGTATTAATTATTAGTTAATCATCTGATGGTTTTCACACAATTATAAATAAATCGAATAATGAATTAGTAAAATAATTCGATGGTAAACAAATATAAATCTTTATGCATGACAACATCATCAATTTTCGAAGATAATTTACTTGCGCTGTAACAGAAATAAACTGTTTGATCCATAAATCGTTGTCCTATTTTAGAGAATGTATATAGTCAGTCATAAAGATTCAATATTAGTAATAAAAATTGTTTAAAGACAGAAATGAGAGCAAAAGTGTTGAATAATTAGTTATATCAACGCCATGATGAGAAAATGGGCTTGGTCAGTGAAGAGTCATACTTCAAATATGTGTGAGACAACATGAAATTTAAAGTAGAATAAAAATTGCAATTTTCAAACTTACATGCTACTATTTTTTCAACGGCAAATGCCGTCAATAATAATCCAAAGCACAATAAATTATTCATCATGACATTTCTTGATAATATTATTGGTTTAAAAATTTTCAAAAAAGTACGCGTCACTAAAAAAATCCTCGACAATCTTATGACACAACTATACACACTATGTAACGTAAATGTAGAAATGGCTTCTGATAAAGAAAGGGATAGATTTATCTTAGCATAACCATACAACGCCATCTGACATGCGGATTGAAAATTTTTTTATCGACGGTCGAACGTTTATCGATTGAACAGTAATTCCTAGGGAAAAAAATTGGAGGGAAAGCCAGAATTCTGAGAAAAAAAAACGGTCACAATCGAAGTAGATGCAAGCCGGAGAAGCGTCGAGTCGAACGACCAGTAAATATTTTCTCAAAAAAATACTTTTTAGTAGGAACCGTGTAAATGTTTATTTGTACAGGACAATTTACAATATCTTTTTTAGTAATTGATAATTTTAATTACAGTTATACTTTTAAAAAACTGTAAAACGAACCATTTGCGTTATTTGCGACTACGCAGTTAACCAAACAGTGAAGCCGGCCAAACATTTTTCTCATTATTTATTAATTAAACGTGACAACATAGCATAGCAATATTAAATTTTTTTTCAATATAATGGTAATAATAATCAAGATACGATAATCAACCTTTTATGACATTTCAATGAGGTTATTAAATTAATACCCGTAAATTAACTGTTCTAATGGCCATTATTGGAGTACAAAAAAAATTTATTGACTCCATTTTTTTTTTTCTAAATCGAATGATTAAAATAGTTGTTTATTAAAGTTTGAACGAGTACATTGAATTCATCAATACTTTAATCGTTGTGGGGAAAACTTATTTACGAGAGTTTGGAAGAAAACTTGCCAAGTTTAAAGTTGTTAAATGGCTATTCATAAGAATCAAATACCATCTTGGTGATATTGTTCTTTTCGTATCAATCACGTTTTTATTTTTTTAAAAGATGTTTTTTATCTTATATCTAAGAAAAATGAAGTGTCATTTTTCACGTTTTCTTACTTTACATTGTCGTATCATTTGATATACAACTGTTGAGAAAAAATATATTTCACTCATTCAGAAATTAGTGCTTGGTATGGACCATCTTGACCGTCTGGAACGTGATGCTATTTTTTTCACTCATAGGTAATAATTCGGGACATTTTTGTCCCACAACTTCCATTATTCATTTTTTTGATATCTAGATTTCATTAATTTAATACTTGATGGGAAATAAAAACTAGAATGATATAAATAAATTTGAAAAAGTTTAGGGATAAATAGATGCACATAAATCAAGTGTACTTATCATCAGTGAACTGACAATCATTATTCGATATACAATTATAATATAATACGAAATTCTGAACAAACATTGCTTGATTGTTATATAACTACAATTCATTGTTACAATTGACATGATATTTCATTTAAACAAGATTGTTGATCATGAATATTTCAAACGAATTTGGAAATTTGGTTGATTGAAAATTTCATTGTGTGTTATTGATCTGAAATAATTCTAGCACGCATTTTGATAAATAATATTTAATGAGTACAATATTGATTTATGTCAGCCAAATATGTGTTAATTATTTGATTGAGAATATTTTGTTTACAGGTCTTTTTGTGCTGATTTTACATCAAATGGATTCATTGTCTGAATTTCAAGAGAATAGAGGAGAAAAATGAATTGGTAAGTCAAACTATTCTTGTCAATAATTAAAAATAAAATACAAAGTCATTACGACGACCCAAAAAATACATCAGTTAAATAAGGATTAGCTGATCCAACGTTATTAAAAAATTTCTCTAAAAAATAATTGATAATTATGTCAACTTTGATCGATTGTTAAAAAAATCATAAAAATAATTCAATGAACTCTTCGGTTTACTGATGAAAAAACCGATTTTAAATTAATCTACTTGGTAAAAAAATGTATTACCGAAATGAGTTTGTTAACAATGTGGATTATGTTTCTAAGTAAATATTTTTAAAAAAAACAAGAGCTTGGTACAAGGAAAAAAAAGATTAAGTAAGATAACAAAAAAATTATTTTTGAGTTGTCGGAAGGTAAACTCAAATTAGTTGAATACAAACATAGTGGAGTAAAAAGTAAAAGTGCTCTTGATTGTGTGACTATAAATTGTGAAACCAAGAGTATTTAACAATAACAGAAAAGCTTTGTTCGATCTTTTGCTTGGTAGAAAATATCCTAGGATATCATAAGGCTACTGAGCATCGTAAAGGATAATGCTTTTGATGCACACGAGAGCTATATAGTTATAATATACTATCTATTCAGCGTGAAAAGCAACTTAGTAGTAGAGTAGGAGTGTTATACAGAACGAGAGATAACAAAGTAACACTCTCTTTTTCTTTCAATACGAGATATTTTGCTTTGTGGTTATTATTATAACAACTTCTTTGTTAAAATATGCTTTATTAATATCAAAGCTTAAAATTCCAATTTTTCAAGGATAGGTATAATTAAAAAATTCGACAATAATTGAAATGTAGAAGTTATTTTTAGTGTTAACTATTATTGTCTTTTTATAGCTTTCTATCAATTGTCTTTCAATTGGATGTTTTGATTTCTTACGGAAATTCTCAGTGGAATTAAAGCGATTTTCTTCAATTGTGAGATCACCCAATGGAGCAAAAAGTTTTGTAGAAACTTGGTACTGTGATTTATACATCCCTGTGCGTCTTGTGTCTTTCAAATTTCCTGCAAACTTTTGCTCTATCTTCCTTTCTGCTAGTTTCCATGTTAGACGTTTCATTTATATGAATTTTTCTTTTTTTTTTAGTATATTTTTGAATGTCATTTTTAGAACAAGATTGTAAAGATGGTATATTCATCAAAATCTCAACTAAGATTTTCATTTAAATTGAGTTTTGACTTTTCTCATAATTATTCCGTTCTCCAGTAATTATTTTATGAATAATTAATCAATAGAAATATAAATCCGGTTTTATATAATGAAAAAAAAATTTATTATCACTTTGCTTTCTATTATCTAAGTTTTTAAAGCTGATACTTAGGAAGATCTTAAAATTGAAGTTTCATAAAAAGATGAAGATTATATAATTTAAAACAGCTTGTTCATCATAAAATCAATATTTCTTTGTATCAATTTTATTAGATATATATTTTAATAATTATTTTTTAATGAATACTTAAGTGAATATTTTGCAAGAAAAAAATGTGGTATTAAAATGATCACTTCTACTGTAACATAATATATTAAATTTTTTATAACTCATTATTATTTAATGAATAATAACAGAGTTTTATTTGGGTAATAAGTCATTTTTACACTATTCTTTTAGTAGTAGTTTCAATTCCCACACTAATGTATGGGTCATGAATCCTCGAAATAGCTACATTTATGGAGTATCCTGATAAAAATGAAATTTACAATTTTGTCTTCGATTTGTGTAACTCTAACTCATCATATCTATCAATAAATACATTTTCAGTTTGAATTTTATGACAAAATTACGCGTTTATTTTTGGGAATAAACGATCGAGATATTGGAAGAGAATAAAATCAATTGGCTCGTCTTTTACGTGAGCACGTGTGCTTGATATTAAATTTTCTGAGAAAAGCACGCGTCGTTGGAAAATTCCCAAATGATTTTCCATTCTTTATAGACAAATTATTTAAGGATTATTTGAATATGTCAGTAAAAGAAATATTTTTCATATTCTATAGATATAAAAAATGAATGAAAGAAAAAGGATTTATTTAAATTTAAATTTTTAATAATTTTAAATAATCTAAAAAGGGTGTTTACGAAAAATTATTCTAATAGTATGACGTCAAAGTAGGTCGGGGTATAGAAAAAGAAACTGTTATAAAATATTACTCATGGTTATGTGCTGGTTACGCGCGTTGCACCTCGAAATATATCATCTCTCAAGTACTTTTATAACCAGCTGGACGAGGTTTGTGCACAAGGACCACAGATTTCTAGTATCATTATTCATCTCACAATTTTATTTCACATCTCTCATTGAGAAATATTTCTATAACTTCCTGTAAAGAATTATGTTAAAATTATTCGGAAAAATAGTTACATCGGTCAGTTATGTCTAGTGTTTCATCTGATAAGGTCCTATTGGTATTATCAGTGTGAATCAAATACTACTATTCTATTTTTCAATTGAAAAGATACATAAAATTTAATAAACATGCATTATTAATTATATTTAATTAAATTTAACAAATAAATAATAATTTATTTCAATTTGACAACCATCTGACTGAATAAAAAAATTATGCTTGAACAATTATCATTAAAATTAAAATAGAACCTTCACTAAAAATTCTCGAGTGAATTTAATGAATTAGTTATGGAAAGACTCTTTTTTCAAGCTCGCTTTAAATTAGTAAGAGCTGTTATTTTATCAGTAATTCAATCCTAATATAAAATGTTAGATAGAAACTTATTTTTATGAGAAAAATTTTATGCTTCATTATTGTATGATATATTGCATATTTGATTTATTATGTTGTTTAATATACTTTTAATACAAACGATAAGTTATAAAATAGAAGAAGAGGGAAAAAAATATAACACTAGTATCGATTTTTGTACTTGCAAATGTGGAAGGTAAATCTTGAATGGATTCATTCGAATGAAAAACAAATATCGTGTGATTTTGTTGACCTAATAAAAAGTTTTATTCCAAGAAAAATACTTGTTCAAAATTTATAAAAACTTGAGGAAAAAAAATTCGTTATAACTCGCACAAACATCATATTTACCTTGCAAAAGTATTCACCATCAGTTTGTCTACAATAAATTTTAATTTTTGATTTTTACCCCTAAAATAAATCTTTTCTAGTTGATTGATGAATTATTTAATAAACTTTACTAACTTTTGAATATACAGTAGTAGTTAAATAAATTAGCGAAATTTAATTTTATTAATTGAAAATAAAAATAAAAAATATATGAAAAAAATAAATGCCGTGAGAAAGCATTGGTTAAATGGAACGGTAGACTCAGCAATAATGGACGGGCTAAAGTGTTTCTGGACAATGAAGTACTACTAGCTCCACGATATATTGAACGCATTCGACCTACTGCTATCGACGGACATATAACTGATCGCTCAAGTACTTAAACAGGAGATTTTATTCCATTAAATCTCGTAAAAAAATATAAAATTATATAAATAAATATTAGAAATTATTTATTATGTCGATTAACTATTTTTAGATGTTGAAAAAAATTTTTTTTTTCAAATAATTAATTGATTATTTTATTGAGATTATAGGAATTCTTGGAAATTGAAGAATAATCATGAGATATAGAGCAATAAGCGATGAAATAAAATGGAAGATTAAAATTTCAATAAGAGTAATCTGGCTTTATTAAATATTCTGCCGAATTAAATTATTCAATTGGATCAGTTGATGATAAACGTTGATTTATATTAAATTTCATCAAATTTATCAGAGAATGTATTGTATTTTTCTCGATCATAACAACGTTTTCGCATTTTCATTCTAGAATTTTCGATAATTCACTTCATTAACATGTTAATTTATATGAAAAAATTGAAAGAATTATTTTTAATTTAACTTTATTATGATTATAATAAAAGATGATTATTACAAAGACAATTATGTCTTTAGATCTCAATAATAAGAGGGAGATTAAATTTCGAAGTTAATGTAGCATTCAAAAGGCAAAAGAAAAAAAAATAAAAATTTGTGAACTTCTCAAGTACAGAGAGAATAATTTACCTCATCGATATTCTTCAATCGTCTTTATTTAGATGGCCATTAGTTCGCGAGTTTCGCCCTCGTGCAAAGCATTTTGAGAATAAAAGATAGATAGACTGAAATAAAAGGAGAAAAATAAAAATTCCAAGTTTAAAGCCAATTTAGAAGGTTTTCTTAGCAGAAGTTGAGAGTTTTCAATTGAAGCTCTTTTTTATCTAATTGAATAAGAATTTAATTCTATTGAATGAAAAGAAAATAATTAAAGTGAGATATAAAAAATATTTGGAAGATAAACTTTTAGTATATTAAACGTAGGTGCACTAATATTTATCGCTTAAAAATGTGAAATAAAGGGAGTTTTCGCGTCAAAACGTGATTTAAAGTTTACCGCAGTGAAAATGGATTTTTTGTGAAGCGTTTGTTTCCGTAGTTTACGAAGTGTTGCTGTCAGTGAAAGTGGATTACGTTGTTACGATAGATATTGACTTGCATATTCTAGTGATCGGGTCATAGTAAATCAATTTTGTTGAGTGTCAAAGTGTTTTTTTTTTTAATTTTAATCTAAAGTTAGAGATTAAAATTCATCTCAACTTTTAGAAGCTATATAATGTTGAATAAATTAATTATAACTTAACAAAATAACCACTTAAAGTTGTGAAAACAAGGAAATTAATTGTTAACGTGAAATACATTAATTATTCGTTACATAAATATGCTGTCGTATTTAGCGATGGATTATTAACTTTCATAAAAAATGACTTTGTTTGAGCAAAGCCCGCTTGATGAGAAGTTGGTATAGATATTAATTGGAAAATAATAATCGAGAGAAATCGTGATAAAAATAGTTTTTATTACAAGCTTTTTGTTAATCACATGTTATCATGATGTAGAAAATCAAATGAGAAGCTACAGAATTTTTACACTTTAATGAACAACTTTTTACAATGATTCTTTTTTTGCGTTATTTAAAAATAATTATTTACTGTGATTTAGCAAAAAAAAAAACGGAATTATCGGTCAAGAGAATTTTTATCAATAATAATATATTTACAATATCTTCAGAGCCAGCATTGAATTCTTTTAAAAAAAATATTCATTCTTTCAATTATTTAACAAACCAATAAAAAAATTATTAAATCATATCTACCTTTATGTGAGGTAGTTCCACATATTGGTAGTTAAAATAGTAATGATTCAAAAAATTTTTTTCAAATCTATCAAACAATTTTCTACATTTTGGAATTCAACTTAAATACATTTCGAATTCTATTTTTGATATTAAAATTTTTTCTACTGTTGATCAACTGCGTCTATTATTAATAAATCAACTTCCGGTAAAATTGAATAGAGATAGTAATTGAATGAGAGCTCAAGTAATTATTTTTCCCTAAACAATATGGTAAAAAATCTTTTTTTTTTTCAACTTACAGAAATATGATCTTTTAGATCAACCAAAAAAAAAAGGTTGTTAACTATGATCCTGTCAATGCCAAACTACCTTAATGGCAAACAAAATGAAATAGAACTTTTGATCTCTATAATTGTTTCATTCTAGGATATGAAATGATACCACAAGTACTAGGTATTAAATTATCCGTAACATCAATATCAACAATTAACTAATAATGAGTCCAGCTGATATAATAAATAATCCTAATATTGGGTTGGTCTATATTCCAAGTACAAGTTTGCAATCCGATTGAACTTGAAACTTATGCGACGTAAATGCTTTCATGCTCTGAATCCTTGTATAGAGAGATTTAATTTGTAAACAATTAATGTTTGATACAAGTGCGCGTGATAGTGAAAATACACTTGCTCGAGGCTTTGTTGTCTATAGAGTATTGCAGTGGAAACCTCTCGTCGAATTGCTATGAGTTAATGTAAATGTATGTAAATGCATTAGTGCGGTTGGCGTCATATGGTGAGCTAAATTGATAATTTGCTGATATCAATTATTTGGTTTATGAAAAAAAAAAAAAAAATAAATTCAAATGCAAAGAGGAAATGTTCTTCTTCATTTATCTTACTAAAACTATCGATCTTATCTCTGAATATTGTTAGTATGGAAATGACGTCGATGTCATGACACATCGAATAAAATAAATATCGATTTGAAAAAAAAAAAGACAAAAAGAAATGCTTTTAATATATCAACACAAATTAGATTTGTCTCTGTTGACGTTTATCTTTAGAGCATGCGTTTCTTTAGTCGATAAATAACTTTTTAGTTGTTTTTGTCATTTTTTTTCACCTGCCAATGACTCGATGGCACAATGCAAAAAAATGAAGTTAATGGAAGTGTGTAAAGCCGGAAATTGAGTTGGATGGAGAATTCACGAGGCGTAAAGCCGCATTTGGCGTCACCCCTACGTATCTTCAAACTGACCGGAAGAACGATTGACTGTTCATTAATTGATTTCCTCTGTCTTATCGTTCTTTTTTTCAGTTACCAATTTTAAGTGTTCTTAGAATTTCTGTTAACTCTAATGAAATTATCAGTTTTAGATAAAAATTTGTCGCTTCAATGATTTGCCTAATTTTAAAATTATCTTTTCAACATGATATGAATTTTACAGATATCAGCAATTAATACAATTGAAAGAATACTCCAGCTGTTACAGTATTTAATTAATAAATCATATATATAAAATTTGATAAATTAAAAATTTTAAAATATTTCATATTTATTTAACAAAATGAACAAAAAAGAAGACTTTAGAAAGTTTTTAATAAGTTAAAATTGATCAAAGTACATAATATCATAAGATTCCAATAAAATAAAAACCTTTAAGAATTTGTCGTACATTCAAAGTATTGACTTCAGGGATGTCAAACTGTCATCTGTGGAAAAGAAAAAGAAAGAAATAAACATTAAAAGTAGGGCATACAAAGAAAAGTTCTAGAGTGAACAAGATCCAGTCCATATGTGTTACCAAAGTATCAAAGTTTAGAAGTTGAAATCACTTTGACAAAATTGGCCAATAGAAAATAGTTTCATCAACTTTTATCAGTAAACTTAGCATTCATTATTTATAGACCAAATTACAAGGTGGTATTTTAACCATAAACAGTGCTCGCATAATGAGAAATATTCTTGGATGTTTAGTTTTTGAATAATTTTATGGAAATGAAATTCCAAAACAAAATATCACTTTTAGAAATTTTAATTAATTTTTATGTACTCATTTGAATAATTTACTAGTAATCGTAAACAGTTTCCAACAGAGTTGAATATTATTTGCAAAAACAAATGGATAACATGGAAGGATGTTTATGGAAGTCTATTAATTATATCATGCCATGTAGGTAGTCTAATCTTCGAAACTATTTTAGTAATTTTCTCAGTAATTTATTTACTCAATGATTGATTAATTTCATTCAATTTCATAGGGAAAATAAAACACAATAAAGAGCAATTTAGTAACTTTGGTTAAGTTTTATTAATTAAAATTCTATTATTTAATATATTTATATATAATATATCTCTTCATCTATATACAATATTAATTACTGTGATAATTTGACATTGAGTAATACCTAAAGACAGTAATGTTAAAAGCTAATTGATTTTTTGGCAGGAATATTTTAATTGAACACTTTATGAACAAATGTCAGGTTGTCTAATATTACACAAATTTTTTTTCTTCAATATTTTAGTTAATAAAAATTATTTTTTTTTATCAATAGTAGAACGAGCTCTTGTAATATTTTTTCTTGTGACTATTTAATTATTATTCACCATATTGTGAATAAATATAAAAGGATTTTTTGAATATCTCATGTAATGAAATAAATAAATAAATTTAATAATATTAATTGATTTTCATACTCAGTATTGCTCAATGGTCTAGTCACAGATATATTATATTATTATTAATTGTTATTGTTATCATCATTATCATAATGAATTAATTATTATGATTAATAATAAATTTTTAACTTTATATTTACAACACATGTTTAGTTTTCTTACATAGTAGGTACATCAATAATTAAAATCATGTGAATGTTGGTAATAGAATGAATAAAAAAAGTGGGAAGGGTAATAAAAAATCAGTCTTAATCCACGAGAAATATATAATAGAAATTGCGATGAAACCGCATCGTTGTTTTAATATTTTTATATCTCACATGACAAATAGTGAGTTAAATGTTCAGTACAAGATTTTTTGGCACGAGCACACGAGCTTGCACTTAACAAAAAAGTTCTTCACCATTTTTCACTCTAATCATTACATCTTGACCCAAAATTTTACTTTTAACGAAAGATGCTATTATCTGTTATGTCCTTCATTTTAATTCCATACTCGTAGGAATCAGAGTTCCATTCATGGAAGGATTGATGCTACGAATTAAGTGGGGTAGTTCCAATATTTGTAATGAAACTTGGACAAGGATTTTCAAGGCGATCACCACTTTGCAATGAGAAATGCCTATAGGACATGTATTCAGGTGGATTGGGTGCTAATGGTTGTTCTCGTTTCATTGCAGCACGTTGTTTCTTCATTTTCATGTATCCTAGAATAGATACTAGGACGATGAAGACGACAAATCCCATACAACTGCCAACGATTAAGCCTAGTCTCCTTGTGAGAATGTTAGCTAGACCACTTCGATCAGAGGGAGCATCTCCAATCACCGAATCCGGTGCATCGAGTGTCCTAACTTCGGTACACCTGCTCATGGGTGAATTGATCATGACTGGTGGTACAGAGCTTTCGATTACATCGTTCGATGCATTCCACTGCCAAGTACTGATGTCCTCTGGGATTGGCGTGCCCCAGCTGCCAAGTCCAAGGACGCAAATGAGGTATCTGGTGTCTGGAGATAGCTTTGATAGTCTTACTGATCTTGCTTTTGGATCTAAAAGCTTCCCTCGGATCTGAAATGATAAAAATGAAAAAATAAATTATTCTCTTTATTAAAAAAAAACTTGTTTTATTACTTATGTAATTAAAAGTAAAGCATTTAGACACAATCATATTATTTTTTTTCATTAATATTAAGTATTAAATTTATTCTCAGTGAGGTTTTAATAACACAACTTTAATGTAGAACTGTTTAATGAGAAATTCTCTTCATTTTTATGAAAATATTTTTCTTCAAAGACTTCGAGTTTCTATAAACACTTTATATTTATAAAAGATACATAAAAGTTTTTATTGATAATTTGAAATATATTTAAAACAAAATTTCAGTTCTATTTGAATTATATCTATATGAGATAATTTGTTTTCAAGTATTGTTAAAGGTAATGAAAAATATTAATAATAATTATGAAGCTTTCTGTTACCTCTAGTGTATACAAAATCTATCAAAAAAACCTTTTCAATTCTTTGAAATAAAACATTATTTTATTATAAATAATAATCAGAATTAAATAATTTTGTAAAATATTCGAGAGAACAAATTTGATAATATAATTAATGAGAAATAATCTCATTCAGAGTAAAAGTATGATGTTCCGTCAGGAAATTATGAATTTAAAGTCCAATGAATTCATATCTGCACTATCTGTGTTATTTACTATACAGCTTAACTTAATTCATATAAAATTAATAGTAAATTACAATTGTTAAAATAATTTTATTTTAATAATTAACGATACATTTCTTCAAAATGATGACATACTCATATATTTTATGATAAACTTTTTTTTATCTTGAATTTTATCTGATGTATCTAGTGACAGCTAATCAATTCATCAAGAAAAAATACTTACTCATCACTTTTTAGAATAAAAAAATGAAATATTTAGGTTGAGTACCTGATCTTTTGTAGTACTAACATTTTTTTTTGCATGAAAAATGCTGTCGTCAAATTCATATTTTTATTTTTTGAACAATTGTCTGTTTTATTAGAGTATTTTGAATAAAAAAAAAAAAACGAACAATATGATAGAAGTTGAATGCAGAAAAGGAATGATTGAAAAAAATTCTTCTTTTTTTAAATTGATCTGATCAATAGGTTGGTTACATTTGAGTTGTTATACTTCTACTGAATACATAGATAGTACATGATATTTATACAGGATAAATTTATGCTTCATAACAACGATGAAAAACAACTCACATTCAAATGCTTATATTGAAATTGAAATGAACGATTAACATTAATAAATACAGTTATGCATGTTGTACCTAGATGCTTTGACCGAAGTGAAGGTAAAATTAAATATTTCATAAATAAAAATTAATTTTCAGTGAATATTACATTTCCATCAATTTATTTTTCACTATTGTTTTTGATGAAAATTTTTTTTCAACTGAAACAATGATTTCCATCAGAAGTTAATAATTGTGCTTAATAAAGTTTAAAGGTAGTTCATGAAGCATAAATACTTTTTCATAAAACTTTACTTTCATTTACATTTAAAACTAAAAATTATTTACAAAACGATCTTTTTTTTATCATTTAGACAATTTTGTGTCTTTTAGGGTTGACTTTATTATTTTTTATCAATGAAAGCAATTTCCTAAATTCCTTCTAAAGTGTTATAACCGTATTATAGAATAGAAAATAATGTACCTCATTGTCGTTATCTAGAGTGTGATAAGCGACTTGGTAGCCGTGAAGTCCTGAATGATTTCGGCTTTGCCAAGAGACTAGAACAGAAAAAGGCTGGATGTCTTGAATAGCTAGTTTGATGACAAGTGGAGATGAACAAAAAGCTCGGGGATCAAGATCTAGAAAGACAAGGCCACGAAGTTCCGGTGGTTGTTCACATCGAAGTAATCCACCCTCGACGTCATTTACTCCAACTCTATTTCCACCGTGACCTCGATCGACGCCACCCACCAGTTTTTGATGATCACGCAGCCATTCCCATAATTCTTGTGACTCACATCCACAATATAGGGGATTTTCTGTCAAGAAGATGAACTAATTAAATTAAGATTTAAAGGGCATGAGGCAGTTCTGTTTATTGAATGTGAGAATTAGAGAGGATTAAAGTTATTTAATATAGCAGTAATTAAAAATTTTGCTTAAGCTAATTTTGTCTTTATTTATCTTTTGCTTTTATATTCTCAATAAAACTTTAAAGAAAAATTTTTCATTAAAGTTTCGTGTGAAAAAATTCAATATGAATAAATGAAAAGTCTATTAAAGTCTTCTTTATGATTGAATCTCATAATGGAATTTAATTCCATGAACAAATATTGTTATTGGATGTTTTTTTATCGTATATTATTCAATAACTTTAAAAAAAGTTTCAAATAATCATTAGAATAACCAGTTGTCACCCTTTTTCTATGTTGTTTTATCCAATTGCACCTTTTAAGAAGCAAAAAAAAATTTACTAGTGATTGTCACAAAAGCCAATACTGATTCGAGACAAGAAACTAGTTCTTATCGTTTCTGATAAAATTCGATTCTGAAAACGTGGCAGCCAACTAGACGTTGTAGTCTTGATAGCTGAACCCGTTATTGTTACTTGGACGAAAAAGAAACAATGCAAGAAGTATTTTGAAAAGAAACTAAACGTTGTTACTAGGATAGTATGATGAAAATAGACTCAATAAAAGTCTTATTGTCTGACTGCTTACCTTCAGCACGGAGACTTCGAATTTGCGTTTCCAGTGGGCGAAATGCATTCAATGGAAGATTCTCCAGGTAATTTCTGCTGAGGTCTAGAAGTCGGAGTTTCTTAAGAGGTCGAAAAGCTTCACTAGAGATGGCATTGATCCAGTTGCCATATAAGTGAAGTTCTACTAGACTTACTAGATTTTTAAAAGTCTCTTTTCCAACCATACCAATATGGTTATAAGATAAGTCAAGAATCTGAAGTGATTTAAGGTCTTGTGGAAATTCTTCAAGCTCTTTTAAACGATTACGAGTGAGGTTGAGTATTCGTAAGTGTTCCATGCCTTGGAGTCTTTCCTTGGGTAAAAGTTCAAGACTATTCGTGCCAAGATGTAACGTAAGTAGGTTTGGAAGATTTTTAAAGGCCCCTGGAGACACTCGTTGAATACAATTCTGAGCTAGATAGAGATGAAGTAGTGCTGGGAACGCCTCAAACTCTTGTGATGTGACAATACTTAAATTCGTACCAGAAATATGTATTTCTTGAAGTACAGGATACATCGCTTCAGCTGGTAATTCATGGATACGATGTAAAGGGTTGCGAGTTAAATTGAGCCACGTTAAGCCTGGAAGATTCTGACCAGACAAAGCAACTGCCGGTATTTGACCAAATTTATTTTCCGATAAATCCACTCTGCGTAACATCGGTGAGTGAACAAAAAAGTTGGCTGGTAATGCATTCAAGTGATTGTGGCTTAGGTCAACAGATAGGAGACGCGATAAATTTGCCATTGCAAAGCCGAACATTGATTCAATCCTATTGTGACTGAGATCAAGCTCCCGGAGATATCGTAAGTTAGCAAAGCTGCCAATGTCCACAGTAACTATCGTGTTGTGTGACAGTGAGAGAATTTCCAAGTTAGATATGTGAGTTAGCGCCGAGTAGGGCACGTCAATAAATCGATTGTGATCCAACTTTAGTTCCCTCAAGCTTGATAATCGTTCAAAAATACTAGGGGGTAGATTTCGTAAAAGATTATTATTAAAATGTAATCGTACAAGATAGGTGTTTTGAACAAATGTTGATTCTGCTAATTGAGATAATTGTATATCATTCATTGTTAACTCTTGTAATCCTGTTAGTCCATAGAAACTAAATTCATTAATATGACTAAAATTATTGCCTGATGCAATAAGTGTCCGGAGACTTGGAATGATGAGCTTATTTAACGCTGAAGCAGTAAGTTGATTACTCTCTATGTTGAGATGAGTAAGATTGTATAGCCCACGGAAGGTATTATCCTCTATTTTAGTAATTGAACAATTTTTAAGGTTGAGAATTTTGATAGGAAGATTTTCCTGAAACATGTTTTCACTGAGAGTCGTCAGATTGTTGTTCGCCAAATCGAGAACCCGAAGCTTCTTCAAAGCAGTAAGAGCATACGGCTCAAGATACCTGAGGCCATTGTCTTGGAGATAAAGCTCCTCGAGTTCATGTAACTCTGAGAAAGTTCTTGTACTCACGCGACTCAGCTTGTTCATACTAAGTTCAAGAAACTTTAGTGCTTGCATAGGTTGAAATGCGGAGTCCTCAATGTGTGATATAGAGTTGTTTGTAAGATAGAGACGTTCAACGAGGAGAAGATCACGAAAAAGAGGTGCTTGAAGATGAGTTAGTTTATTATGTCCTAACCACATTATACGAACAGATGCTTGACCACGGAGAGAATCATTGTGAATAACAGCCAAACCGTTGCTATCTAGTTGAATAGAGACTAGAGAACTTCCAGCATTGGATGATTCAGAAGAGGAAAGTTGAAACACATCACCCAAAACAGCTAATTGATTGCCTTGAAGGTTAACATGTTGAAGAGAGTTCAAAGTTTTCAAAGCTCCAGTATCCATACTTCTGATGGCATTATTCTGCAAATGTAGCTCCAAAAGTTCGGGTAATTGTGAAAATACTCCTCTTTTAACTTGTGTTATTCGATTATCTTGAAGTCTTAATTCTCTTAATTGATTGACCTTAGAGAAGGTGCCAGGACGAAGTTCATCAATTTTATTGCCATCTAAGGAGAGCGCTGATAAATTAGTGCAGTGTTCTAGGAACTCCAATGGTACAGTTTCAATGTAATTATTGCTTAAATGAAGTTGCGTTAATCGATTAAGACTTGCTAATCCTTTTCCGTCTATCCTCCTTATCGCATTTTGTTGTAGATAGATCACTGCCAAATTGACGCTTCCGCTAAATGCTTCTGCTGGAATTTCAAGGATATTGTTCTCTGCTAGATAGAGCTCACGTAATTGAGTAAGTTTTGCAAATACGCCTCCAATATAATGTATATGATTGTGACTTAATTCAATGTTGCGTAACCGCTCATTTGACTTAAATGTTGCTACATCTAGAAAGACAATTTTGTTGTGACTAAGGTCTATAGACTCGAGATCTTTAAGAGAAATAAATGCATCCTTGTGCACAGTCTCAATGGAGTTGTAGTACAGAGACAGAGTATGCAAAATGGGACAGGGTTTGAAGCAGTCTTCGGTTAACTCATCAAAATTATTACTACTGAGGTCTAAGATAAGCAAACCACCAAGTGTGGAGTACCCATCATTGGGTAATTCTGAAATCTCATTCCATGCCAACTTTAATGAAGCTAAACTCTCAAGTCGTCTTAACGATGACATTGGAAATACTTTTATCTTATTTTCTGAAAGATCGAGATCATTTAAGCTATTCTCTAAGCCCGCAAAAGTGTGCTCAGATATTTTAGATATCTGATTTCCTTTGAGACTTAATTTCACCAGTTTCAATCCCCAAAAACAATAGGACGGTAGGTCTTGAATTAGATTTGTCTCTAGATCTAACGCTGCTAATTTGTGAAGTTTTGCCAATGACTTTTGTGGCACTTGATCTAATCGTCCTGACACTAAGCCTAGAGATTCTAGGCTATCATTGACATTCAAAAATGCATTTTCATGAATGTCACGCAAATACGAGTGTGATATTTGCAGATGACGTATTTGTGAACCAGGTGGAAAGGATCCTTCTTTCAATTCTTCAATATTTTTGTCCAACTCGTAAATACTTAATGATTGGACTATTGTTGATGGTCCTGAAACAATTTAATTTATTCTATTTAATTATAAATCTCATTCAATTTTGTTATTACTAACAATATAATTTATATGAAATTTCAATTAAATCATTTGTTGGATGTTAAAGTTTGATTAATAATGTAAATTCATTCTAGCTATTGATTTAATAAATATTCTTTTGATGATAATTTTCATAAAAGAAATGAAAAAAATAAATCAAAGTAAGTTTTATTTAATGAATTGGAATAAATAATATTAATGGATGTCTAGAAGTAAAAGATGATGATAAATTCAGTAGTTTCTTGATGATGATAAATAACAAGTAACAGTATGAAAATTTTTGATCTTCACTTAAAGTTTGTGCTATTTTTGTTGTCTTGTTTGTGAATTTAAACTTCAAGACATCAGTATGTACTAGGATTTCCTGAATTAGTTTACTTTCAGAGTTGATTGTTTTGTATACCAATTTAAAGTAACTGTTTTCCATATGTTGAAAAACTTTTAAAAGTTAAAATAAGCATCGTGACTTTATTCTATTTAATGAATTTCTACCAACTATCCATCAAACTTCTAAGACTTATCAACTTTTCATCCAGGTATAGTGGCAAATAGTATTCAAAGTTCTAGTTCAGACAATAGGTCCATCTTAAACCACACCCTTACCACCTTCATCTCCAGTTAAGGTCCCAATTCTACTTTTTTATCCTGGATATCCTAAATTATTATTTCGTCTAAGAATCTGTCTTTTAAAATGTCAAGCTTAAAAGATTTACCCCCTTCATGAAGAACACTCAGCATAGTTTTTTTTAGAGTTTCTTCAGTCGCATCAGCACATTCAAGAAAAAGTCCATCTTCAAAATTATAACATGGACATCCCGGTATCGTTTCACTTGATGGACACTCAGAACTTTGAGAATAAGTCCGGTCAACATTTAGCAAAGATATTGTAAAAAAGAACAATAATTTTATTTTGCTCCATCGTTGGCATTCACGACTACATTGTTTTTGTCTTGGCTGCAAGTTCAACGTCATGATGGTGTAGGACTCGAAAATTTCTCCTCAACAGTAAAGATTATTTCTGGAAAGATAAAACCATATAGACATTTTAATTAAAATAACACTTAAAACACTTGAAAGATTATTGATCAAAGTGGAATAAGTGTGAACAATAATTATTTATATGACAAGTAATGAATATTATTTTATGCTTAGATCACAAAAGTTTATTACTTGTACACAGAGAAGTTTAGCTTTATACCGAATACTAAACACATACAGTAAAGAGTAAATTTGATGTTGTAAAGTGTACGAGACTGAATAACTATCCTTCTGGCGGCGTAACATTGTAGATACGCTGCTGTTAACGAGTTCCCGTTGGGGTGACATCCGGTTTCGATGTAGAGGAAATGAGAGTCGACGAAATGTACGTACAATCTGTTGTAACTTGGTTTACTTTTTTTCTATACCCTTCTTACGCTAAAGCTGTCAAAGTGTCTCTTTATCCCGAAATACAGTCTGGAGTTGTTAAATTTAAAAGAACCCTTTATTAAGTATTTTTAAATATCGATCTTCTTCGTGTTTTAAACTCTTTATAAATACAATAAATATTCGAATTAGAATATTATACATTTAAATTAAAAATTGTAATTCTGCTAAAAGTTCATTTACAAAGTAATCTTTCCGGCTTTAAGCTTTAGTAAACGCATTATATGATTTTTTGTTATTTTTATCCATAGATGGGTACATAAATGAATTTTAGATTTGATTAATTTTTTTTTTAAAACTCTTAAATATAAACTGATTTTTTCATTTAGTTTAAAACTCGTAATTTTTATTTTTTCACTCAATTTAAAATTTCATTGATGATACACGAAAAATACATTATTAATACATGGAGGAATGTTTATTGATTTTACAATTAAGTAGATATTTCAATTAAATAATTTAGTTATGACGTAGTATGGTTGTGTGTTCATAAAAGATGATTATATTTTCAGAATTATAAATTAAATTGTTCCTGTGCTCTGTCACAAAAGAATTTAAATAAACATTATAATTTAATAATTAAACATATAAAAGTAATTATTTTAATTGTTTATAATTTATTTTCATATTTATTTATTTTAAAAATGATTATTTATATTAGCTTGTTCCAAGATGAGATTTATTATGTTATTTATGATATGATGATTTACTGAATGCTCATGTTGAAAGTTAAAATTTATTATGAATTATAATTACAACGAGAAAACAAAGACTTGATAGTATGACATGGCATCTGTATTTAAATAAATATGAAGCAAAATTCATATTGTGTATATTTTAGAATACGTTTATATGTATTTTGTATAATTAAATCACCAGATAAACAAACTTACCTTCAACTGTAGTATGAAGATTTCGACTGATTGTGGTTTCCACGTCGCAGAACGCAGCTTTGGTTTTCATTAACGGATATAGAACATTCACTCTGTTGATAACCAACGACGAGAGATGAGATTCTAGTTGATTCAAATGTTCACACTCCAATGATTCCTTCTGTAAAATAATATTATATTAGTAAATATCAATCTCTTATAAAAACTCTGTTTCAACAATGCATATTTACATTTTCGAGAGATGTTGAATTTATTAAACAATCAATGAATTGTCAAGATGTTTAAAAAGTTAACGATTGACATGCCGTCGTTTTTATTCTGCAATAGCAGATGTCAAGTTGAAAATAGGAAAAATAGTAACTCAATATTATCAACAGTGTAAAAGGGTGTGGCATGGAGATGTGATCGATTCATTAGATTTATCTTTTCAAAGAGACTAGAGCATGTGGAGAATGTCAACACGTCTGAGTTAATAGAATTTCTGTTTCGAGATATACATCATCACTACTTCTGTTCATTCTATTCATCTAATAGTAGGGAAAGATTGTCTCGTTCGTAGATGTGTACATATGTACATAGGGGGATGATAGAGGTCAGTTGTTACATGTAAGGATCTTTCAAATGTGTCTAGACCACAGGAAATTCACAGTATTCCTGAGTGTAATTTTTTCCTAGAGAATTGCTTTCATTTGGATAAAAGAGAAAACTAAATTGAATAACCACAATTCGAAATCATTAATTACGAAGGTCTTATTTAAGAATTAAAAAAATATTACTTAATTTTTCGCTATACAACAAAATGTTAATTTAATTAATAAAAAGAATTTAAAATCTTCGCAATAAAATATTTCATTGAATTTATTTATTTTGATATTAGATTAATTTTTATTTGCTGAAACACAATGCACGGAAAATGTTTAGCTCGAATTTTTCACATAATTTACTGTAACTAAATAAAAATTAAACTCTAAATAAGAATTATTATTTGGCTGTCACAGTTTTTATTAAATACATATTAAAAATTATTTCCTGCATTAAATAAATCACTTAAGAACTTTAATATTCTTGGGAGGATGTAATTAATTTTAGCAAACTATAACAATAGAAATACTCCTTAAGAGATTGTCAATTTAAATTTATCCTGTATACTAACATATACTTTGAACTTTATGAATCATAAAAAGGAGTTATTTCCCGTGTGGATCTTAAAAAAAAATGATCAATTAAATAAAATATAAAAATCAACTTATACTCAGATAATTTTATTTAAAATAGTCAAGCACAATAAAAATGTTTTTTGAATTAATTATTGATTAATCGTTTCAAATAAACATCAAAATTGAATTTATAAAAATGTCAATTCTAAAAAAATTATATTATTGCGATTATTTGAAATTTTAATTTCATTAGTGGAATAAAATATTACTTGTTCACAGTTAATTTTTTTCTCAGTGTAATATTGAACTTATTCTGAATATTCTAGCAATTTTTTTTTTTTAATAAAAGATGTTGCTGTACATGTAAAAATTCAGTTTCCAATAACATGGGCTCATTCTTCTCTACATATATTCATCATTCCATAAAGCTTAATTATAGAGGAAGGCAAATCTAAAGTATACTTGTTCGATATTCAGAAGCTATTGTATTTTAAATACAGCGAAATTTTGAATTTTCTGATTTAAATATTGCTGGAAATAAAAAAAAATCTGTATCTTTAAAGTTATAGCCATTTTTTTTGTCTCATTCTCAAAGTAAAGAGGCATTATTTTAAGAGGATAGAAGCGAGAGAATACAATAGCATCACTCACAGGTCACATATAGCGTCCTCGGGGTAACGATTTCGTACTTTTCACTGCTATCATTCGCGTTAACAACGTCATGATAACAATACTACAGACTGTACTGTCTTTTACGTTTGACTGTGGAATATTCGAGTAAGACTATACATGTGTGTAGATAATTCTTGAAATGACTTTTACTTGTTTTCCTGAGCTGAAGCAGAAGAAAAAAAAAATGAAAACGTAGTCCGTTGAATATTATCTATAAAAATATTCTCATATTCCCACTGACAATGAGTAAATTTACTAGGATTTCTTTTATTTATTTTTTTTTTCATCTCTTGTTGGAAGATAATAACATTTGAAAGAACTTTAATTTAAATTTTTTCTCGTATCTTTGACCGTTTTTTATTATTCATTCTAATTTATCTCTTAATGCTTTTATGAATTGAAATAAAAAAATAATATTATAATTATGAATTGAATTGTTTAGTAATAAGCTTTGTATACTAAATTATTATTCTTTAATAAGAAAAGAATTTGCGTTAATTTTTAGATTGTTAGATATTAAAGCAGTTGTTTCAAAAGAACTCGAGTATTACTTTAAGTCCATAACTACTGGGAGTTGTTAATCAGTTCAAGGAATAAAAAATTTTAATTTCTCCTTCTTCAGTCATAATTAATATTTAATGGTTTATATTTTGAAAATAATATTGATTATTAGATTTACAGAAGCTTTTATTACGTCACCAAAAAAAATTAAAATTTTTAAAAATTTTTGTCGTAATAGAAATTTGTATTAAATTGATTTTTGTTTCTTTTTGAGGTTTATACAGACGTAGATGATACTTTGAGGGTGGATTATACGACTCACAAAATATCATTCTCGATGGTTGGATGACTATCACATCTTCTCTCTGAGTGGTCAAGAACAAAGAAAAATTAAAAGCGTTTTATTCCACATAAATACATTTCGGTGTAATGATGATAATTATTGTTGATTAGAGAAAAGTGAATTAGATAAATAAAAAATTCGTTTCGTTAGTCCAGGAATCCAATTAATGACAATTATTCTTTTTTTACAATGATAAAATGAAATTTGCATGTTTCCCATCAAGTTTTGGTTTCTTTTTTATATGAAATTCCAATCAGTAATGAATTACAAACTTGTTTAACTCATTTTTTTGAGTTATAGAGTAAAAAAGTTGTCGTTTAATAATGAATAGTGTCTTACCACTAAAGTCTGTAGCTACTATAAAGTTTAATTACTCAAGCAAATGTGGATATTACTCTGTTGATCTTGGCATACTTTTTATTCTGAACTTTCCTTTTACATTAAAATTTTGTAATTAAGACTACACGATGAGTGAAAAAAAAACCCTAAAGTTGATAAGTAATGAAGACTAAAGAATTCTTTTTTTAGTTTTTGTAAGTTAATGAAAAATTATTTATTTTACGTTAATTTGAAAGAAGATAATGGTTATTTCTGTAGCAAAATGAGTAAAAAAAATATAAAAATAAATAATGTATTACAAAAAGGATAATTTTAAGTGTAATTTCCATCAGAATTAAAATCTCGAAACCTTTAGAGATGAAACTTTATATTCAAGTAGCAAAGATTATAAGATACAGAAATTTTATGAACTTTTTTTGTCTTTTTTGTAAACGAATAAAGGCGAGAGATGGTGATTCTAATCTTGAGAATTAGTCTCTGGAGAAGTAGCTCTTTTGCGATAAGGGACGTGAGTGTACGATGAAGTGAGTGAATTACCTCTGCATGAGAGGAATATAATGCTGGTAAAATATGGTTTCAAAATACATCAAGTTTTAATATAGTATCGTTAAATTGTTTTTTTAAAAAATAATATCTAAAACGATGATATTCAAACAAACTATTTAACAACATACAATCATATAAACATACTAATTATAACTTTCGCAATTCCTCTTTAATTGCTAAATTTAATAAACATTGTTTTATTTCTATTATACTTTATGACGAGAGTTTTATTCTCTAATATACAATCATTGTTAAATGAAAGTTCGGTTGAATTGAATGTTAAAAAAAAATTTTTTAGATTAATCAGTTAATTGAAAAATACCAAAGTCCACTCGAGTAGGAAAAATATTGCCAGAATACAGAAGAATTATTATTTTTTTTTTTATTTAATAAAAATTTCTAAAATATGAAGAATATGTTAAAGTGTTTTCAACTACTGAGTAGAGGAACGTAGCTCACATAGAAAATGTATTGTGTCGATCACAGAATAGAATAACGATACACAGCATTATTGGAAAGAATAATTTTTTATCGTTTCATTTAGAAACAATAAATTCCTCTTAAAATTGTTTCATGATCGATACAATAACATTCCACAAAAATTTTTCGATACTTTTTTATAACTATGTAAATGTTGAAATGTCAGAGGATAATGAGAAAGGGAATTCTATCGATTTTATGTTATTAGAAAATAATAGCTCAGCAGATATTTGATGTGATTTTCCAAATTCACTTTTTCAAAATAAATTAGCTTGATTATTTGAAAATAATCGAGTACAATAAAAATGTAGGTTTTCAGTGAACTATTATTCGTAATCACCAGCATTTTCCATTCATTGAAATCCGTAATTTTGTCATTTTTTGATTTTTTTTATTGATAAAAAATTGCTGTTTTTATAAACAATATACAATTGTTCAATCACATCGAGTTATTTATAATAATATTTTATTGATAATCATCGGATATAATCACAGTAATATTAATTTCCGTGAATAAAATCCATTGTTAATTGTTGATCACAAATTGATGGTATTGTAAACAATATACAATTGTTTAGAATCAAGTGAGGTAATTAGCAATAATATTGTATTGAGATTAACTTCAGTTTCGATCAATATTAATCACTCAATAAGTAGAACCTATTTCAAGTCTCTTTTTTACTCAACTTATTTTACACCATTTTCGTTATAAAAAAAAAAACCAGCTGAACTGAATTTGTTCAAGCTCCTCTCAGATCTTCTCCACTGTATTATCTTTCGAATGAAATTTGTCTGGAGTCGATATCTTCAATGGTTCTTGAGATATCGAAAACGAAAAAAAATCTGACATACGTACGTACAATTGTACGTACGTACATCCATTTTTAAACCTTATAATATGCTTTTAAATGTCTCAAAACGAAAAAATATGACGACATAACAAATTTTATAAATTAATCCCATTATAATAACTTCCTAATGGAAAGTTAAAAATATTTTATTACGACTATTCTAAATTTCGATTTTATTAGTTGATATAAATATCACTTGTTCACAATAAATTTCTATCTAAGGATACTTATTTATAGAAGAAAGACTGCTTCTTACAAAGAAGAATGAAAT